CTCTGCCATATGACACCAAAGCAAGAAGGTAGCCAAATGCAAGCCTGAAAGAGAACTAGATCCCTCACTAGGAACAGAATTGATCAGCACCTTGATTTTAGACTTCCTAGACTCCAGAACTGTGAGAAACAAGAATCAGTTGTTGTTTAAGCCATCCATCTATGGCATTTTGTTATAACAACCCAAGAAGACTAAGACAGCAATGTAACATTGTTACCACAGACTTAGTGGTAATACACATTTATCATCTCACATTTTCTGTAGGTCCAGAGTCTGGCTTTAGCTTAAGTGGCTCCTCTGATTGAGGTCTTAGAAGATTTCAATCAAGACTATTGAGGGATGTAGTTTCATCTGAGAATCTAGTGAGTAAAAATATGCTTTGAGTCTCATTCAGCTTGTTGTCAGAATTAATTTTCTTGTTATTGTAGGACCAAGGGCTTTGGCTTTTTGATTGTTATCAGTTGGAGGTCATCTCAGCACTTAAAGGTCACCTGTATAGTTGCCCAACATGTTTACTTACTTCCTCAAAGCCAGCAAGGGAGAGAAAGAGTAACTCAGCAAAATGGGTATTATAGTCTTTGTAAGAGAATCACATAAGAACATATAGTCCATCACATCTGGCATAGTCTGTTGGTTAAAATTAGTCATAATACTCAAGGAATGATAACACATCAGAGCCTGAACAGGGCTATCTTAAGAGCCTGTCCACTACAGGTTGATATGTAGAGATAAACCCAAAACAGACTATATGGAACTTAACCACAAATGAAGAGAAGTTGGTGAACTATACAAAAATAAAATGCCTGTCTTTTTGCCTTTGATTCCTGGTTGGAGAGAATTTCCTCATTTCCATACCTGTGAGTCCACAAACCAAAATTCAGAACAAACTCCAATAAAACACCATAACACTAACCAAAATCAAATGCTACTTAAAAAAAAACAAATTATAAATTAAAAATTTCTCCTAACGATTCAGTTTAAACTGGAATTATTGTCTTTAGATACCACTTGTTTATTCTTTCTGATTGAACCATGTTTTCTGAAATTACTACCGTAAGATATGTATCTTGAATATGTATGTAAATATATGGATTATAACTTTACCATCATTTCTGTTCTGTAGCCAGCTCTACATTTGTCCCTTGAATGCTCACAGACTTTAAGATGAGTATCAAGTATTAGCCCTTGGTAACAGGATACTGATGATGTGCAATGACAGAATTGGAGGAACTAGASAGATAGTTGGATTTAGGAAAGAATGGTATCCAACATTTATTAGGCACTTACTATCTACCATATTCTGTTCTAAATCCTTTGTAGGTATTATCTATTATAATCTTCCCTGGTATTTTTGCTATGTATCCCCATTTCAGTGAAAAGGAAACTGATGTACATGGATATTATGTGATTGCCAAGGTCATATGAACAGTATGTTTCAGAACCGTGATTCAACCTAGGAAGTTGAATTCAAACACTCACGCAGTTCACAACTGTACCAGAGTCTCTGCAGTATAAGGAAATGTTAAAATTTTACTCAGAAAAAATTGAGTTTGGCTAATTGACACTTGGTCATTTGAGAAGAAATTTCCTAAAGATTGTGGAGGTATGAAATTGGCAGTGAGGTAGAAATAAGGATCAATGTTGGCAGGGAGATAACTAGATGAACAGTCAAGTAGACCAATCATTCAAATGGTTTCTTTATTCAGCACCTGCTTTATGCCAGGTGCTGACCTAAAAACTATGGACGGCTCATTGTGAACAGGACATTTGAAATGTCTGATCCTACAGGACTGACATTCTAGTGGGAGGAGATAAATAAGTAAATTTCAGGGCTATAAAAAAATCAAGATAATATAATAGTGTCTTCAGATATGTTTGTGGAGGGGCTGGCTGTTGTCTACTTCTGACAATTTATCAGATCAGTGACAAAAAGTATCCCTGAGGAGATGGCATTTTAGCTAACCTGCAATGATGAGGAATCTGCCATGAGAAGATGGCAGAGAGGGGCAGGCAGGAATGAGGAACATTCTGAGAAAAAGGAGCAGCAAGTAGGAGTCCCTGAGAAATGTATACCCAAAGACAGAAAAATGTATGCCTTTATACAATTGTATTTTCTTTGTTTCTATATCTCCTTTCTCCACTATTCAGTGAACTGTACAAATTATCTCAGAATCTTCAACACTGTATTATTTAGTAGACACACAGTGTGAATTTGTTCAATACATTGATGGATTTATTCATTTAGCAATCATTTTATTAAGMCTTCATTCATGTACCAAGTACTTCAGAGATACAAAGATGACCATGTGAAAGCCTGAGTCCTCAATGAATTCAAATATGTGGGGAGCAGAGTTGGAAATAATTAAAATTCRAAATGGTCAATACTATTGGTGCTAGAATAGCATTAGAAAAAAGAATGAGCTGGATGCAACAACACATACCTATAGTTACTAGCAACTTGGGAAGCTGAGTAAGGAAGATTACATGTTTGAGTCTAGCCTGTGAAACTTAGCAAGACGCTGTCTCAAAATAAAGTAGAAAGGGTTGGGGATGTAGCTCAGTAATAGAATTCTCCTTGGTGCATTCCCCAGTACTGCAAGAAGAAGAAGAAAAAGACAAAGAAAAAAACAAAAGACAGCTTACTCTTTTTTTGGTGGTGGGTGATTTGGGGAAATTGCTTATGCAGTTTTAGATGACAAAGTTACAGCTGTGTTTTGAAGATTAAGATAGTTGGGGGCTGGGTGTAGTGGCACACACCTGTAATCCCATTGACTCAAGAGGCTGAGGCAGAAGGATAGTGAGTTCAAAACCAGTCTCAACAAAAGCAAGATGCTAAGCAACTCAATGAGACTCTGTCTCTAAATAAAATACAAAATAGGGCTGGGGATGTGGCTCAGTGGTTGAGTGCCCCAAGTTCAATCTCCAACATTCCCTCCCTACCTAAAAAAAMGATAAGGGATGTTAAACAAACAAACAAACAAACAAAAAACAGAGTGTATTCAGTACTACTGTGACAGGTTTGAGAACCATTGCAACAGGGTCTTGCAGTGGGGCAAAGAGATAGAACTCAACTTCAGTTGTGAATAYAGCAAAGGCAAGTGGGAATTAATAGCCAAGGAGCAGGGCAGGCGTCTGTGGATGAAAAACTATTAAAAAGGAACATCAAGGAGGATTCTGCCTAAACCAGTTTACCCGAATTTTTGCAGGGCAATGTTCAAATTCATTTGAACTGGGGAATGGTGGAGTAATGGACCCAATCAGATAYGGATGGTGATCAGAAAGTGAGGATGAGGGTGAGGGAGGAAGGATCTCGTCAAACTGACTTAGTAGGGCTCTTTACTAAAGCTAGACTTTATAAGAAAGTTCACACATGGGCCTAAGACAAGGTCAGGATGATGCCTAAAGTTCAGCCAAGCAAAGAATCTTAGGGGCGTAAATAAGAAAAGGCATTTTAGGCAAAAGGATCAGCTTGAGCAAAAATTTGAAGGTGACAAAGTACATATCTGGTTTCCTAAACCCCAAGAAGTCTAGGAGTAGATACAATAAGTGAAAACCAGTAGTATGTGCAGAAAGAGTAGTAGCAGTCAGCAAGCTTAGTCAATAACTATCTGTGAATCATAACAAACAAAAACACAAAGAAGCCACTTAAAGGAGTGCCACTAGCCTAATGGGATGATTTCAGCATCATAAAGAATCATCATTATAATGGATTAAGACAACAGAAATGTAAAATGCATGCATTCATAATGATACTAAACAAACAAAAAATTTTGTGGTTAATATTGGAGTTTGCTAGGGTACTGACTCATTTCTCTGAATTTTATACTTAAGAGAAAAACACTCAGCATTTATCTAGTCTCTTCTCTATGAGCTTTATTTCAATCCAATGAGTTGGTTTGAGAAAGTTCTTTTTTGGAAGAATCCCCAAGATAAAGAATCATTGAGAGTACTAGAAATCAACTGTTCTAAAATAAAAGACTTAATATAAATATCAAAAAGCAATGTGAGGACTTTTTTGAATCTTGAATAGAACTAACTGTAAATGACATCTTGGACCCAAGCTGGGAAATTTGAATACATAGTATTAAATTACAGGAAGCAATTAGTGTTCATTTAGATACAATAATGGAGCTTAAACATTTTTAAAAATCTGCATCACTTTGAGATACAGACAGGATTTTAAGAGTAAAATAATAATATGTCTGAGATATCTTTTAAAAAGGAGAGAATAAAACTAGACTGCGGGAAATGCTAACAAAGGTTGACTCTGGGTATAGATACTTTATTAAAAATGGGCTCACTTTTGACCATCTTCAAATTTTGCTATTATAGTTTTTAGAAGGCCTTGATCTAATAATGCCCAGACTGAGTAGGGGGCAGCAGTCTGTGGAGTAAGTTATGGAACTAGCCCACTCTAAACGCTGATGCGCGTGGGGCGATAGCCAAGGCCTAACACTGAGGAGCCTGAATTCCTCATCGCTCTCTCACAAGTCCCCTGGAAAGGGACTTTCTGAAATGAAAGCACCCAACCATTCTAGAAGGTTCTGAGACGTCCCAGGGATTTCCGAAAGAGGTTATAGGCTATAACTGGCAAATYGCTGTGAGACTGCCCTTTTCCTTAGCTCCCGGCGTTGACCCTGCGTGGGACGCTAAAAAGCTGCGGGCCACCTCTAGCAAGTTTACTGGGATTGAGGTTGTCCCTCTCCCATCCTTTCCCTCCCCACTCTCCTTTCCTCCTTTAGGTTTTCCGCCCTAACCCGGCTCCAGGAGCCTCCCACCGGCGCCTCGCCTCGCCCCGCCCCTCTAGCGCCTCGCCCCGCCCCCTCTAGCGCCTCGCCCCGCCCTGCATCCTTGTCCGGCCCCGCCCCTCCAGAGCCTCGCCCCGCCCCTGACCCGCGCGCGCCTTTTGCAGGGGAGGGGTAGGTTACCATAGCTACGGTGCACACAGAAACTGGACCTCCCTAGCTGTCCCTGGCTGGCCCGAGGAAAGAGGCAGCACCATGAGCCACGTAGTGACCATCGAGAAGTCCTCGACTGACCGTCAATTATCTCAGCAACTGTGTCGGGAGAAGTCGAGGGGCTACTTTTCTTCCAATCGAACGTACGATTTCCTTTATGGTAAGGCTGCCCCAGAACCCGCTCCTGGGCTGTCGACTCTTGGGCCAGATTGACCTTACAGTTGGTAGGACCTTGCCGGGGGATGGTGAACGAAGGATGAACCTCTGGATAGACTCCCTGCCCAAAGTTGTCTATTGTTAGGCTGGGGCAGCTACGAAGCTCTTCAGATGGCCCCGCGCTCAGGTGCGCCATGCCAGGTGCACCGCGCGGGGACACCTTACTCTTTGTCTCTGTCTTGGGATCATTTGCTCAGATCTGAGCTATCTTTCTGAAACCTACTTCGGCGGAAAAGTATGGAGAGATTTGCAGATTTGGGTATTCATGCACACAATGTTCCCACATTCAAACTCCATACAATGCCCAGCGAAAATGATCTTCCAGCTCTCATTCGCTGGGCAGCTTCAAATTTTGCATTGTAGATAAAGAGGATGCAGTTTATCTCACTTTTGATTTTAGCGTTTTATTTTTCATTAAACGTTTTCTCTTCCATTAAAATACTGTTTAAAAACTATGTTCCTCTAGCGCCAATAAAGCTCCAGTTTATTTTAATTCCTCGACTTTCCACTTGTGTTCTAACTCTATTGGACCTCAAAGTCCTGTTCTATATATTCTCAAAATCTATTTCAACGCTGGTACATATGCTAGGTACTTCAAAATGTTAATTCAATTACCAAATTTACTGTTATATTTGTTACAACAGTCAAACATGATTTTTTTTTTTTTCCAGTTTTGTTCTCAGTAGCTCTAGGCTTTGGCCTGAATCTAGCATTGTTTCCAAACACATGGTGTTGCCTTTGGGATGCCCAGAGTCTTCTTTGAATGGGATCCTATAKGGTACCCATTTCCTGGATAGGAGCTATGTAATGATTGCTTACATATTCAGGCCCGGGATCTTTATTCACACTTGGTTTCATCTTGTTAAATAAATCTAGTAAGTCCTGTAAACATATCTCTATGTTGCTTTCAAAGGTAATTTGGGAAGGAAGATAAACATCTTCAGTAAAGACAAGCAAAGAATTTATTAAGCTTGTTGGTTGTTTTACCTCTAAGTGTCTCTTTTGCAGAGATTGCTAAATGTTTCCATATCCCTTGGAAAGAACAGAAATCCATTCATAATAGGTCAATTGAAAGTCTGCATTGTTACAATAAAACAGGCAAGCTCATGCAGCTAGTCACGGACAGGAAGCAAGGTATAACCAGGACAGTCTAGAACCTGGACAGGAAAATTAAACACTAATGTGACATGCTTTCCTGCTTTCTTTCTTTGACCTTACAGTCTTTTACCCTGTTAGTGTTTAGCAAATAAAAATAGAGAATGTACAGTTAAATTTGAATTCCAGATAAATAACATAATATTTTAGTATAATTTTTTTCATCCCATGCAATATTGGGACATTTATATTAAAGAATTATTAATGGCTTATTTGAAATTCAGATTTAACTGGCAACTCTAGCTATCTGTATTTTATCTGGCATGTTATTGTTTTCTATGTATGTGCTTCCTTTTTCCATTTGACAGCCACTTGGATTTATCTTACTAGAACAGGGGCTGGGGTGGCACTCAACATAACCTCTTAATCCTAAAGCTTACCACCAATTGTATAGAATAGAGTTTCATGTATCTTAGTTGAATATTTAAAAGAAATAACATTGATGCTGACCAGCTGGTAAGTTTGTTGACCTTGGGTCTGGTTTCCATCTGTTAGGAAAAAAAAAAAAAAAGAAGTGACGGGTTAGGTATGGGGTCAAAGGTACAAATATGAACACCTCTAAGCTCCTTAACTGTTATCTAAGAAGCCCTTGGTTATTTCCTTCACTTTTAATGTATTTAATCTTTGCGTCATTCTACTTCATTCACCCTGGTCTCTGCTGTTCTCCAACATATCAGTCATGCTTTCATCTTAGGGCCTTTCTTCTAGTGATTTGCTCTCCTAAAATGTTCTTCCTCCAGATATTCATATAACAAATCCCTCACCTTCAAGTTTCCTTACATGTTATGTTGTTAAGAATTTAAAATTTGATCCTAGTCTCCCTTACCCTGATATCTTTTTTAATAGCACTTATTATCCTCTAACTTATTATATAATTTCTTGTTTATTATATTTGTTGTTTAATGCRCCTACCATGAAGTCAGTTTTTAAAAATCTTTTTGTTGATGTATGTAGTCCAAGCATATAAGACATAATAGCCAGTCAAAAACATCTTGTTGTGTGAAGGAAAAAGGGAGCCTGAGCCCCTTGCAGGTTTTCAAATGTTGGTGGAAATATCAGATAACTACATCCAGCAGGTTGTTTTTTGTTTTTTTTTTTTTTGATCAACCACAGAGTCGTTAGGTTTTAAGAATTGACTCATTCAAGTTCAAATGAAATTTATTTCTAACATTACAATACCAGTTTACTAATATCTATGAAGAAATATATGTCACTCAGTTGCCTAGACTAGCTGGTCAGGGTATTTGTTTCCCCAGAGATAAGTCTACTTGGGAAATCAAGTGTCTCTGTTTATGAGTTCAGTGTCAAATCAGTTCATTTTAATGGGTGATGTAATCAATCACTAATATTCTTCATCATTAAAGATATACCTAATAAATAAGTTCTTATAACAGCAGGTTAATCTTCTATGGAACTTCAGAGAGATAACTTAGGCCCATCATCAATGTACAGTACTTATAAACGTAAGGAGTACATTCTGAAGATAGCTGACCTTATTTATTTCTTATTAGAAATTGAGAGTTCCTTACCATGTCTACCAATTCTGAGGAACTTTGCTATTTTCCTCWTCTTAGTACACTGAATATAGAACTAGTACCTAAATTTATTCTTTCTTTCTCTTATAACTGGGCATAGTACATATGTATATATAATATCTTTTCTCTTGATGTATTTTCTGGACTACGAAGGACTTCATAGGAATGAAGAGAGCTATTTAGGGTATTGTGCTTGTAAAGATGCTGGTCTTTCTTTTTGCATTCCATTTTCATAAACTGACTTGGAATATACAGGAAAGAAATGTATCTAACAAATTCTCACTGGTAGAAGGAATTGAATAATAGGGCCATTAGTTGCTGCAGAGTTAGGCAATATCTAAACTTTCTAATTTGTTTTCCAATTGAGAAATTACAAGGCAGACATGGTGTTACATACCTATAGTTCCAGATACTTAGTAGGCTAAGACAGGAGGATGGTTTGAGCCCAGGAGTTTAAGGCTAGTCTGGGTAACATAACGAGATTTCCATCTCAAAAAAAAAAAAAAAAAAAAAAGGAGAAGAAAGAAGAAAGAAAATTATATTGCTTTGCTAGTGTTCTCACCCTAGGAGAATATTTTTTCTACTCCTTATACTACTTTATTATGTTTTTTTCTCAGATCCATTGTTTATTGTGTCAAGCGAGAAAGACCACACACAGGCATATATTCAAGCCACCCTGATTCGAAGCCGACTGGTATGTCTGATTCATCTACTAAGGCAACCTAATGAATCTGAACTGTCTAGCATGGCTAACTGCTTTAATCAGATTGACAATCATCAGATCTCCACTGGATTTTAGGGTCTGCAGAAATTGCTTTGCTATGATTACTAGGGGGCAAGGCATCTCAATACTTGTAATACAAGAGCCATTTGTTAATTTACTTTGATGGAAAAGATACTCATGCCTGGGTTGGAAGAATGCAAGCAGTATGAAAGCATATACAGTATAAACTAATTCTAGCCCTGCCATGTAAATAGTCACTGTCATCAATTTCCTGAGCGTCCTTTTGAGATTGTCTATGCATACAACAATTGTTTTCCCAATATTCGTTGTCTTGTTCTATTTTTTTAAAGTTTATAATATAATTAAAGTGCTTTAGAAAATCTGATATTTTATATATGTATATAATTATGTTCTTTTTCTCCATTCCTCCCTTTCCTAACATTAGAGAAAAGTTCCCAGATTTAGAAGCATGTTCAGTAACCTGATTCATTATCCAAGATATTCTCAGTATTGGAACAAGTCCGATCCTCTCCCACCATTTATCAGTCGAGAATGGAGAGGACTTGAGAAGCATAAAGAAGTCCTCTGGCAGCTTTCCACGTAAGTGTCAGGTGGCTCCTGACACTAAATATACTTGTGTATTTTTATTTTTAAAAATTTTAATGTATTTACTCTGCATTATTTAAAAATGTATGGTTATAATGTCTACCTGGACCAAGTTCTCTTGTTAAACCCCTTCTTCCAAACAAGCTTGATTAAGGAACAAAGGTTATACATTTATTGGTTAGTAGTTCTCAGAAGGTTGGCATGAAAAAATATGTAAATTACTAATCCACAAATTATTATTTGTGAGAAACTTCCTTATGGAAATATTTTTATGCTGATTTTTTTTTCAGAGAAATGTTAAAATTCTTTGTGTGTGTGTGTGTGTGTGTGTGATTTTTAAGTGGTGATAGAACTTAGGGCCTCACATATGCTAGGCAAGCATTCTACCACTGAGCTCAGTGTCTAAGCTTAGTGTCATATCTAAGAAATGTTAAATTCTTAACTAAAGCATACTCAATTTCTAGATTTTGGGGAAGGATGCTTTAAATTAAATTACTGGGAATTTCAGAATGTCTTAGGAACTGGAGAACTTGCTCGGGCTAATGACCCCTGAARCCCAAGTAGTTTTTGAAATCATAGCTTGTTTGTCATCTGCAGGGAAGAGACTGGTATGCCTGCTAATAATGACCTGAAAGTTGCAGAATATGTATACATTTATTGACAACTTGCCACCGAGTATAGGAATGACTGAGTTTTTGTTACTTTGATCCATCTTTAGAAATTGTAAGTGCTCTTTTCTGCTAGTGTCCAAAATATTTTTTGGAGACTTACAGCCAAATCACCTTACTCTTGAAATCATTTTTTAAACTACAAAGTTAATATTTAGTAAATTAACAAATGATAATGTTTTGGAACTTTGTTATTCTCATGTGCTTTTAATTAAAAGTGGGCATTTTTATATACAGGATTTCACAAATATATTCATTTCTGAACTCTCACTCCCTATTACTAAGTTCTTGTTTCCTGGCTTACAGGAAGTAATCATGCCTAGTCTAAGATGTAGGATAGCTAAATGCATGATAACAAAGACTTCCCTGTTACTATGAGATATTCAGACTCTATAGATGTAGAAATGTTAAGTAGAAATTAGAGGTGGAAATGATACACTTGAATAATGTTTTCCTGCTTCACTTTAGAATGGGCACTTGTTTTCAGATGTCTAAAGAAGTTTATGAAAATCCCGACGTTACTGGAAAGAATCGATATAAATACTTTGACAGGTACAAAATGACTAATGAACATTTCAGTCTGGACATTGTTAGAAAATCTCTTTACATCAATGATAACAGCTATCATTTTAAGTGCATGCAATATACCAGGCACCACTTTAAAGTGCTTTGCATACATGCTGTCTAATCTTCACAACAGAAATATAGCATAAGATACATATTAGCCCCATTTTTCCAATAATGAAGCTGAAACTGAGAGGAAAAGTAGATTACTCAAAATCGATGAGCAAGCTAGCTTGTGACAGAGCTGGAATTCCAACTAAGTCTGCCTAACTTTAGAGGTACTAATTGCAACGAAGAATGTATATTTGCAGAGATATCATGAAATTGTAGAGCAGGGAAAATTGTTAAAAAAGTGTTCAAATGGTCATTTGCTCTCTGTATGAACATTGTCCAAACCAACACATTAAAAAATTTATTTCATTTGAGACTAATTTCATGTGATAATTATATACCCTTATTAAAATGAGATGAGAATTTTCCTGTAGGTGTTATGTAGGTTAGAAAAATAGTCTTGATATCACATCTGCATAAGCTTCCTCGAGAAAATAAACTTCTAATCCATGTTATTATTTATGAGTAACTGCCTTATGGAGCTTTTCTGATATTAGCTCAAGCATATTYAATTCCTAGACTTTTCTGGGGGGAAAAGGGGATGCTTTAAACTTTAAGTCATTGGGATTTTCAAAATGTCTCAGGGAACATGAGAACTTACTTTACTTTCATAAACTAAAGAAGTTTATGAAAATCCTGACGTTACTGGAAAGAATCGCTATAAATACTTTGACAGGTACAAAATGACTAATTAACATTTCAGTCTTGACATTGTTAGAAAATCTCTTTACATCAATGATAACATCTATCATTTTTAGTGCATGCAATACACTTCATAGCTAATGGCTGGTGAAGCCCAAGTGGAGAACAGTTTCTGAAATCATGGCTTGTTTGCCATCACAAAGAAGATACTGGTGTGCCTTCTGAAAATGCACATTCATTAGCTGTGTTCTACAGCTATTAAGTCTTCTGGGCCAGACTTRGGAATGTGCATTTTAAACAAGACCCTCCTCCCTCCCCTCAGTGATTTTATATATGCCAAAGTTTTAGTATTATTGTTACATGGGATATTTGTTGTGGGGCAGATCCCTCAGAAAACACACCAAGTCCTAGTTTTGCCCCAATTGAAGAGTATTTAGCCAGCTGTACTGCTCCCCACAGGACCCATAACTGTCTCTGCAAGGAACAGCCCCAAGCCTGAGCATTTTAGGATATTTAAAGGCAAAAACTACATCCGGGTTGATGTAGCTGCAGGCAAGCAGGTACAGAAGCTGGATTGGGCAGTTAGCGAGACAATGCAATGGGTACATTGGTGTTTCCCACAGGATTTTGCAGGTTGGCATAGCAGCAAGCAAGCAGAAGGGAAATTGGTCAAAATGATCCTAGTTCAGTACAAATTAAGAGAATGGTTACTAATGTCTAGACATCTCTGACAAGGTACATTGCCAAAGTAAAATGGAAAAAAAGGAGAACAATTTTACATTGTATAAGAATTGCTATTTTGTGTAGCCAAGTCTAGGTAACTATTAATGGGTACAGAAGAGGGGCTTTCCCATGGGAGAAGCTTTTCTTACATGATATGGAGTCTCAGGGAAAATAGAGTCTGTTTGGTTATTGCCCAGATAGCCTGCCCATAACATATTCAAATATTTTAAGAAACAGATACTAAAATTAGAAGAAATGCAAAATGCAAAAGTCCCACACATCTGTGTTTTCTTTTTCATCCCAGGCCCTTCCTTCCCTTTTATCAACAGATGCCACTCAGTGTTGTTTTTGCAGCAACCAAGTAAGTGACCATTATTTGAAAGCACTCTTTTGATTTGTTATTTTCTTCCATATTTGCTTTTAGAAGATAGTTCTCTAAATCAATATTTTTCAAATTGTGGATCAAAACCAGTAGAAAGTGTAGAATTTTCTAGTGGATCATGAGCAGCATTTTAAAAAACAAACAACAATAGAAAATAACCAGAGTATCAGACATATTGAGGAAGAGTTGCTTTTTGGTATACCTTTTAAGATGAATATATGCATGTTTTTATGTATATAATGAATTATGATATAAAATGTATTTCTTATTATGAGTTGTCTTAGTCTAAATATTSTAATAAAATACCACAGAATGGGTAATTTATACATAATAGAAATGTGTTTCTCTGGGCTGGGGATGTGGCTCAAGCGGTAACGCGCTCGCCTGGCATGTGCGGGGCGCTGGGTTCGATCCTCAGAACCACATAAAAATAAAATAAAACCGAAAACTGAAAAATAAGTATTTAAAAATTCTCTCTCTCTCTCTCCCCCCCTCTCCCTCTCCCTCTCTCTCTCTCTCTCTCCCTCCCTCCTTTCCTCTCTCCCTTCCTCCCTCCTCTCTCTCTCTCTCTCTTTAAAAAAAAGAAAAAAGAAATGTGTTTCTCATAGTTTTGAAGACTGGGGAGTCCAAGATTAAAGCACTAACACTTGGTGTCTGGTGAAGACCTTACATGGCAGGAGGAGCAAATGCTATGTTTTCACACAGTAAAAGGTGAAAGGGCAAAAAGGGCCTTTTAACTAATTACCTCCAGCCCTTTTGTAAGGCACCAAATGCTCTTATGAGGCTTTATCGCTTCCAAAATAGGCCCCACCTCTTAATATTATCAAAATTGGAATTGAGTTCCAACATGAAGTTTGGTTAAGACATATATTCAAACCATAGCAGTTATGATTAAGAGAAAAAAGTTTAATATTCTTTAAATGTCTTCTTTTGCTTTCCTGAAACTCACACTTATTTGATGATGACTCTTCAACATTTTATCCGAAAAACTAATAAATTAAGGAATATTTTGGAATGCTAGAATTTTATAATTTAATAATCATTTAACCTATAYAAGGCAATGTGATTTACAAAGATAAGTAAAATATAGTTTTTYTTGCACAAAAAATTGAACCACGATGAGASAAGTAAAATTCAAGGGCTGAATCTGGTATAAATGTCTTCCACTTTTTAGGGCCAGGCAGCAGTTTATGTAGAGCATTACACTGAAAATCTRGTTTTTTGCAATACGTTTTCCTGTTAACATACCTTAATATTTCTCTATGATTTCAAGGTATTCATGAAATGTTCAGGAAAAGATGCCTTTTTTAAAGTCTCAAATTCTGAATAGAAATGTGTTTAGGACTGGGTTTCAAGCATGCATTTAAATGATGTAGTTATTCTTAATGATATACATATATAGCATCTTGTGAATAAGCCATATGTTGTAAAATATCTATAATCCTCAAAATAAATGCCAAATTGGATCCTACTTCTCCCTTGATTTTTTTTTAAGACTTGAGATAGAGAATAGATTCCCTGCTCTTCCCAGATGGAGCAATTTTCTAAGGTTCCATTTTATCAAGGAGAGATGCAGACTTATAGGAAATGCTTTGTGTGAGCAAAGGGGGAGCTATGAGATGGGTGGATCCCTACAGATCCCCTGGCAATTCTTTAGAAGCAGGCTCATGGGATTGCCTACTTTGGAGGTCTTAGTTACCTTCTGTAAAACCATTGTTAAATTATATCAAGGCCTATAGTGATTAACACCATGCTTCTCCTGCTCCTGTTACTCCTAAGTAACAATGACATAAGGAATAAAAATTCTCCCCAAAAGTTAGACCATGACATTGGCATGTTAGAAGTTTTTACTATGGAAGTTTTGAAAGAATGAATCAGTATTCCTAAGCAAAGCCAACTCTGGAATCCGGGCAGGTTTGCGTTTCTGAGCAGGGAAGAAAGTGCCACCTGTATTAGGGGGAATGGATTGTCTAGGGAGCAGCTGGCCTTCTCCAGCCACAGCCTTTTCATGGCTGGTTTTTGGATCTTTGGATTCTTTGTAAACATCTTGGCATTGAGAAAAAGGAGTTAAAACTCTGAAAACATTCAATGAAATCTCTTTGTATGCAGCTCTGTTGGATGATGGAGGGAAAATTCAGAAGATGGGTGAGGCAGACAGTGAGGCCCCCTGGTACCTGGGCTGTGACAGAGGGAGAGTATTTGACCATGAGAATGGGCTGGAACAGAGCAGGGTCAGGTCAAACAGAAAGTAGGTGGGGAGTTTTGGGGTCTGAGTCTTGAAGGAAGAGGTTTGTTCTTTCTCATTCATAGTTTACTCTCCCCTAAAACCAGCTGAAATGGGGGGAAAAGCATAGGTTAGAGAAAATTAGTCATGCTTCTCCTGTTCTTTCCAAAGTAACAATGACATAAAGAATAAAAATTATGAATAAGTGTAGGAGTTCTATCAAAGTAGCATTCCTCTTTTGCATCCTTCTCTTGGGCACTCCTAAAAAAAAAAAAGAATACAAACAACAATAAGTATTGTCGAGGATGTGGGGGAAAAGGCACACTAGTACATTGCTGGTGGGACTGCAAATTGATGTAGCCAATATGGAAAGCAGTTTGGAGATTCCTTAGAAAACTGGGAATGGAACCATCTTTTGACCCAGCTATCCCACTCCTATAGCATACTATAGGGACACAGCCACATCAATGTTTATAGCAGCACAATTCACAATAGCTAAACTGTGGAACCAATCTAGATGCCCTTCAATAGATGAATGGATAAAGAAAATGTGGTATATATACACAATGGAATATTATTCTGCAATAAAAGAGAATAAAATCATGGCATTTGCAGGTAAATGGATGGAGTTGGAGAAGATAATGCCAAGTGAATTAGCTAATCCCCAAACCTAAATGCCAAATATTTTCTCTGATATAAGGAGGCTCAGTCATAGTGAGGTTGGGAGGGGAGCAGGGGAGGATTAGAGGAACTCTAGATAGGGCAAAAGGGTGGGAGGGGAAGGGAAGGGATATGAGGATAAGAAGRATGGTGGAATAAGATGGACATCATTACCTTAAGTACATGTGTGAAGACAGGAATGGTGTGAATATRCTTTGCATACAACAAGAGATATGAACAATTGTGCTCTATACATGTAATATGAACTCTAATGCATTCTGCTGTCATATATAACATATTAGAAGAAAAAAAGACACTAATCCATCAGAAAACTTTGTCAGAAGAATTTATTAGACCTTATCATAATCCAAGACCTTACCATAATTTGATAAAATGGTTCAAATGAACAATTATTTATTTTGGAATAAACATTCTCTCGATTCAAGCTAATAGTATGATAATATAATAAACTTTAACGTAATCTGGGATGATGTAAAGCTGGTTTGAAGTTATTTTCTCAACTGGAATTTAATAGTAGAATTATTTCTGCTGAAAACATAAGAAGCCATAAATACCTGTATTGTCTACATATGTTAGAAATTCACAGCAACTGCAGTAAAACTAATTTCAAAGTATTTATTCCATCACAGGTTGAAACTCCAAATAAGCACTCCTTTCTAAATGGCTTGAAATGCATTTTTCTTAGGGTTAATCTGTTGTATATACTGTACTACCTCTGTTCTTTAAAATGGAAATATCTTTTTTTTGTTGTTGTTTTATATGTGTAGTGCTGGAGATTGAGCTCAGGGTCTCTTACATGCCAGGCAGGCCCTCTACCACTGAGCCATACCCTTAGCCCCTTGCCCTAATCTTTAGTTATTATTATTTATGTAATTTARCCAGTTCTTCTTCTACCTCGGGGGTGGGCTTTTTTTTTAATAATGAAAGTGGCTTTAGTTTTTTTTCTTTCTTATTTTAAAACAAATACACACACATGTTCACATATTAAAGAAGAAAATTTAGAAAACTATAAAGATGAAAAAATTCTCTCTGCAATTCTACCAAGAACTAATTACTATTTGTTTTTGCCATGAAAGTCAATTTTTTGGTTCTAATTACTATTATTGTGTTATATTTTCATCTAGTCACTTCTCTGTGTGTAAAAGTACAGTTTTTAAAAACATAAAAATGGAATTCTACTATATACTCTGTTTAATAGTATCCTTTTTCCTGCTTTTAATGAACCACAAATGTTTTTGCATATTTATAATTATAGATTGCAGTATTATTTTGAGCAGCTGCATAAATTTCATTATGAATGTTCCATAATTTTAAAATAATTTTTCTTTTGCTTGTAATCATTTAGGTTTCTAATTTTTCACTCTTTTATGAGGCTTTATGAACATGTGTGCATATATATCTTTGTATGCTTGTACACTTGCCAAATTATTTCCTATAGTAAATTTCTAGGAGTACAATTGCTGAGGCGAAAGGTATTTAAGGGTTTGATATATATTAATAAAGTACCTGTCAGCCCGTTGTACCTGTTTGCATTTCCAACAGTTGTTTTTAAACATGCCCATTTTTTCACAACCTCATCAATGCCAGCTACTTTCAAGTTTTTTAAATCTTTGCTTGCATGATAAAATAGCTTCTCTCTATTTTAATTTACTTTTATTTGATTGCTATTTATGGTTCATTATCTTTTCATCTGATAAAAGTTTTATTTTTTGTTTTGTTTGTTTACCACTTTTCTATGGAGTATTCAATTTCATTATTGATTCATAAGGGCTTTTATGCAAAAGGCTGCTTAGCTTTTTATTATGTAGGCTGCAAAACCTATTTCCAAGTTTTTYATTCACCTTTTAAAATTGTGACATTTTGAGATATAGAGGTTTAAACTTACSCTCAGTGCTATGATCATTTCTTTTTTTTAAATTAAGTCTCTCTTCTAGATACTTTTTTAAAAGAGAGAGTGAGAGAGAATTTTTTTAATATTTATTTATTTTTTTTTAGTTTTCAGCAGACACAACATCTCTGTTTGCATGTGGTGCTGAGGATCGAACTCTGGCCACACGCTTGCCAGGCAAGCGCGCTACCACTTGAGCCACATCCCCAGCCTCTATGATCATTTCTTGTACAGTTTCTGATGCTTGAACCATGCTTAAAAAGACCTTTACTGAAGGATGATATAAATATTTTCTTAATCTATTAGTACTTTTGTAGTCTCATTTTAGCTTTACATTTTTAAATGATCAGGAGTTAATTTTTGTGTAAGGGATTAGGTAATTTTCCCACGTTAGCCAAGTTATCCTGGCATTAATTACTAAGTCATCCATCCAGAAAGAGGCTGACTGGCTAGCTTGCTTCCTTTTTTCTCAGAAAACATCCCTTCTCTCTCTGTTGCTCCTGTATTTCTAGAGAGAAATAGCTGAGACTGGTGTGTGTGTGTGATTGAAAGCAGAGAAGAAACCAGGGAATTTAAATTCTAAATAGGTCTAGAAGTACTGTACAACATCCCAGAATCCACCTTGGATAGTTCTATACAATTTTGTGAGTAGATCAACCTGTTTATTCCCACTCAGTTTCTAGGTAGAAGTGAGAATAAGAAGATAACTCTATCAAGGTTTGGGAGCATAATCCTGGTTTCACTGGATTTATAACTTTGTGCCTATCAGCATGAAAGGGGTAAATGGACTTAGTGAACCTGAAGAATTTATTTCTTCATGATTATATAGTATTTTAAATGATCATATTAAGTCTCAATTTAAAACTATTTTTCTCCTTTTAGGACAGAACCATATATTTTTCCTCCTGTTCCTTCTAAGTACCCAGTCATCCCTTCAAAATCTACTGTGGGCACTCAGACTGATTATAGGGATGCTGATGTTCAAACGGATCCATACTCTCCAGAATATGTCGTATGCCAAGACACGATCCCTGAGCTCTTAACCCTGGCTACTCTGACTTGGGGTAAGTTAGTAATTCTCTTGAATATTTGAAGATGACAGTACAATCACCATTCATACTATTGAGTTCTTGGAAATTACACACATACAGGCAACTCTGGTTTATAGAGTGAAGAGAWAACCTACAGATTGAGAGAAAATATTTACAAATCATATATTTGATAAAGAGCTAGTATCCAAAATATACAAGGAACTCAAACTATTCAATAACTAGAAAATAATAACCCTATTAAAAAGTGGGCAAAGAACTCTATACACATTTCTCAAAAGAAGACATACAAGTGGCCAATAGATATATGAAAAAAAATGAAGATGAATTCCAGAATGAAACATACAGAGGTAAAGCAAGAAAAAAGAGTCATGGGAAATGGCATTGTAAGCTTCAGAAAGTGAGAACAGAGGGAATGATAAAGAAGCAATGCAGGAAAGAATAATGGCTCAGAATTTCCCAGAACTGCAGAAAGATATGATCCCTCACAAAGAAAAATTACATTGAGTACTGAGAAGGATAAACATTTAAGAATTCACATCTACTACTTATAGAAGAAAAAAATACAAAAACTATTAGAGAAAAAAATGAGATTATCCACAAAGGGATAAAACCAGTTTGACATTTTGTAATTTGACATTAAATATTCAAGATATGGTAAGCAGATAATTATAGATCTAGAATTTTTTACCAACCAAAATATTATTAMGGAATGAAGGTGGAATAAAGACATTTTCATACATAATAAAACTATCTTATAGAGTATTACAAGGATTAGATAAATTCATTTATGGAATATGCTCATGCCTAYACCCAGAAATTTCGTAGGTGTTTATCAAAGAAAAGTGAACACATAATTTTAATAGAAATCCATGTGTGTTCACCAAAAGACATGTACCAAAGAGTTCATGGTACACTATTCATAAAAACTCCAAAATGGAAACATTCCAAATGTCTGACAACCATACAATGAATGAATGAATGAATAAAATATAGTACATTCTACACAATGGAATACTATGTAGTAATGAGAATAGAAAGTACAATTATATATAACCACCTACGTGAATCTCATATATATATAGTGCYGAACAAAAGAAGTAAGATGGAAAAGAGCACCTACGTTGTGATTCCATTCACATCAGACTCAAAACCAGCCACAACTAAAGTAAGTTGTTAGGCATGAGGATGGCAGTTCTCTTGGGCAGGTAGATGCTGGGAAGGGGRTCTGATGGGCACTTTAAGGTTTGGGTAATATTGCATTCCTTGATCTGAGTGCTGGTTATATGAGATGCTCATTTTTCACCTTTCTGTASTTGTGATATGCATTAATAAAAAGTTTATAAGAAGATAAATGAAAGAAAACATAGTGAAAAAGGATGACCCTAAGGACAAAAACTGAGTGCTTATTACTATGTACCAAGAACAGTGGCAGGTGCTTTACATTTGTAGCTTATTTAATTCTCACAGGTTAAGTAAATAATGAAGTTAAAATCAGAAGTTAATAATATAGAGCTTTAAAAAAGGCAGAAGAAATGCTTGTTGGGACCATAAGGGAATTTTTTGATACARTCTAATAATATAGCCAAGCCTCTTGTAGGAAGCATCAAGGAAAATACGATGCAAATACAGAGTGTTAGATTTGAAAGGGAGACATAACTACAGAGTAAAGGATGTAAGAAATGTAAGATAATAATATGAATATCTTCTGCTGTATTTTTAAAAACAGACACAATCATTAAATAAAATATAAATTACTAAGTTGATTTCAAGAATAGATGAGTAACTAAAGAAAATACTTGCTAAGAAGGAAAAAATATATATTTTTAAGAGCACCAGGCCCAAAGAGTTTTGCAGGTATTTGCCACTCTTTCAAGGATCACATAAACTCTTGTTTTTGCAGATTCCTCGTCAAAGAGAGAAAGAATAAAAGTTAATTTATTCATTTTATGAAGCTAGTTTAGATTTGATTTGAAAATTGAATAAGGACAGTACTGGAAGGGAAAATTACAGCCAATCTTAGGTGTAAAGAAATATGCAGAAAATTCTAGATAACATACCAGCAATCAAATTTTGCTATAWTTAGGCAAGGTATGATGGCACATGCTGTAATACCAGCAGCTTGTGAGGCAGAGGCAGGAGGAACACAAGTTCAAATCCAGCCTCAGCAAAAGAGAGGCACTAAGCAACTCAGTGAGACCCTGTCTCTAAAGGAAATACAAAATAGGGCTGGAGATGTGGCTCAGTGGTCAAGTGCCCCTGAATTCAATCCCTGGTTACTCACCCCCCCCAAATTTTTTTTGCTGTATTTTAAAAGAGTCACATCATAACCAAGCAAAATTCAAGTTTTTGCAGTTTCAGAAAACCAATCATATTATTATAATTTTAACAGAAAATATAGGAAAAATGCTTCATTGGATGCAGAAAAAATATTTGATAACATTCAGTGCTCAATCATGATGCAAACTCAAAATAAATTGGGAGCAGAGGAAATTTAGAAACATAATAAAGAGCATTTACTGCAGCCTTTAGTAAACATAATACCAAAGGCAAAACTCTGGAAGCTTTATTCTCAAAGTAAAGAAAGAGGACACCCTAATCTCCACCATTACATAGCAATGTGTAGAGAAGATCCTAGCATACAGTTTAGCGAGCTGAGCTATGATCCCTCCCCACCCAGGGACATTTAGAAGTATGTGTGTCATTTTTTTWWAAAATGTAATAATGATTAGGAAATGCTGCAGGCATTTAACATATGGAATGGGCTGTAGAAGAAATTTAGCACTGACACTAAACATCCTGTACTTCATGGGATTGTCCCATACAAGAAGTCTTTGTCTGCCCAATCTGGCAATAGCACCCGGATTGAGAAGCATGGAGTCAATGCAGTAAAATAAGAGAAAAAAAAATTAGTTATGAGGATTTGAAAGAAGCAGCAAAACTATTATTTGCAGACATTGTACTTGTTTGGAAACCCTAGTAAAATCAATGATCAGAACAAGAAGAGAGTTCCATGAGGTAGTTGGTTATGAAATCAACATACAAAGAAAACCACACTTACTGTATGAGAATAATATCTAATTGGCAAAATTATTGGGAAAAAATCACATTCATGATAGAAACAAATGACAATGTACCTAGGAAATTATTTAATAAATAAATATATTAAAGCATTTTTACAGAGAAAATTGTAAATTGTTCTTTAAGCTAAAAAACAAGGATTTGATTACAACAGAAACACACCATGTTTGTGAACAGAAAAACTCATGCTCGAATAGATTTGATTTCTTCCCTGAACAATTTATACCTTCAAGAAATTCTAATTCAAATTCTTATTCCCAATATAACTGTGCTTGTGTAAATTTACATTTTTCTCTTCTCTTTCCCTAAATTACATAAAAGCAACAAGGACAACAAAACTCCCACAAACTCCGCTTTCGGTGAAAGTAAAAATTATATATACTCTATGAACTACTAAATATTTGTAAGGACTGCAAAAAGCAACTGAGATTAGGCAGAAGCAATGTGGGAGGAAGTGAGGAACTTGGAGTCGGGGAATCTCAGAAAGCATGAGCAAAAATATACTTCCTGCGGGTAAATTTGGCAGTATGCAGGATTAAAATGCTCATATTTTATGATTTGACTGCCAGACTCTAGCATTTCCACTTCTAAGAATCCTAGAGAAACTCACACATGGGCACAAGGAGACCAGTACAGGGATGCTTTCTGTGGCATTGTGCATAATCAGAAAATTAGAAGCAGGGTTGGGGTTGTAGCTAAGTGGTTAAGTGTTTGCCTAGCATAGGCTTCTGTYCTCAGCACCACATGAAAACAAATAAATAAAATAAAGGTTAAGTTCTTAAAAAAAATTAGAAGCAATCTAAATGTCCATCAGYTTAAATTGTAATGAAGTCCTAGATCTCTATAGATCAGTATGGTTAAGCCCCTAAAACAAAGTTGAATTTTTTTTTAAAAAAAAAGCATGTTTCAGAATGATACATCATGTAGTACAAGCTGATGTATATAAATATTAAATTTAAAAGTAMTATAAATTTTATTTATACATAGTTCATTTTTGGCTAATATTTGAGCCAAATCTGGTTTCTGGTTCATATTTGTTTTTGTTGGAGAAAGAGTGCCCTGGAGTGTGTAAGAACATGAAGCTCACACGAAGCTTACACTGCCGCCTTCAGATCCTCATTTCTGCTTCTTAACAGCTCTGATCTTGTGMAAGTTACTCCTCCTTTGACCCCTCAGTCTCTTCACTTGTAAGATAGGAGTAATTGTATTTATATGATAGGGATTTATGAAGGATTGCATTAATTAAAACAGTACTTGATATATTTTAAATGCTTTTATATAGCAAGATATAGATATATAAATCTGAATATAAAATACTAAGATTGACTGGAAGGAGAGTCCCAGATTTCTTTTTGTGTTTRCTCTGGGAAAAAGGCATTGGGGCTTGATATGTTGGTAAACTTTATTTTTAATGTCTTTGGCTAAAACAGGTAAAGTATATGAGACAAAATGTGTATGCGGTTGTTAAATCTGAGTATTTAAGGTTTTATTTTCATGCTCTTTATTTTTTTAATTACTAAAGAAAACTCTACACAAAATACACAAATTATATATATGTGTATATAAACATGTATATGTATAATTTTGCACATGGGTTTACTAGTTTCTTTATACACACCCATAAAACTAAAAATGAATTGATAAAATATATACTCATTGTGATTTCTTCTAGAAATGAAGGGGCAGAAATATAGAACTTTATTATTTTCTATAATATCCTAATTTTAAAACCAAGAGAGAGTAAATTCACATATTACATATATACAAGTATAAATATAACAAAAGATTTGAACAAATAAAGCAGAAATTTTATAATAGTTTATTATATTTAGTAGAAATAGAACTTGTTATTTATTTCTTTATAATTGTTTTTAAATGACAATAAAACAAAGGTTATTGGGGTTCAGTGATCAAATAGGAAACTTGTTCTAGTCTCCATTTTCTTTATCAATTTTTGGTCCCAGAAAGATGATGGAGTAAATCATATTTAGAGGTGCTCTCCACATCTTAGGGCTCGGTTATGAGCAAGAGGCAATGCAGGGTACCAACAGCACAAGCCTAGAGGCACATCTAGAAGGCATTCCTGTGTCATCGTGTCCTGTCATAACCCTTGAATTTAGGGAAGAAGCTAGGAACTGAAAGGGAGTAAATGATACACTGGCAGAGCGTGGGCTTGCCCCYTGGTTTCTAAGGTGGGATGTTTCATCCTCCAGGTCGAGGTCTCCCAGCAGGACAGGCTGAGGTGGAGATGATAGAACGAGCCAGGGAGAAGCGTGCTTGGGAAGCCACTCTTCCCCCTCTGGGTGACATCYGCCAGTTTGAGAAGAGGAGGAAGATGATGAATGTGATGGAGAGGAAGGAGTGGGCCTTCAGAGAGCAGGAGATTGAAAAGTATGTTACCTACCATCAGACAGCTACCCTGCACTGATGGAAGTTATGTTTGGACTTCTTTTAATCTGTAAATTGATTTCCCAAATGCCGGGTTCTAGAAGCAATCTCAACCTATGGAGATAAGAAATGGGGTTTCTCATTCTTTCAGGAGCAATCGCTGCCTCCTGATGTGGTGTAGGAGTTCTCTATAAATTTCTCTCCAGTAACATGAAAAGGTATACCCTCCTGGTGTGTGAAGTTCAGCATGGAACCCAGATGTCAGCATCTCCTTCAGAGCATCTYTGATTCTTCTTTATTTCTTTTATTTATTTTTTGTATCTATCATCTAGACTATTACAGAATCCCACTGATTTCTGCAAAGCATCTTTCAAACTATCCCTTTGCGTTCATTCACAGTACCACTGTCCCTAGGCTTCTGCCCCATTCATATCCACTGACGAGCCTCCCAGGAGTTCTGTCCTATACTCTCCTGACACTGGTTTTGCAGTCAGGACGCAAATAGGCTATAGGCATTTCTGATTTGAAAGGAAGAATTGAAATGCTTCTATTAAAAGATGAGCATACATGATGATATGCATAAACATTATGCCAAGGCACTTCAGCCATTTTAACTGACATRGTTTTGGTAATGAGGTTATTGCTGACATGTAGAAATGATGAGAAATTATTAGCACCAAACTCCCTAACAAGCAAGAAAGGAAGGGTACTTGCAAGTCAAGGGTGTCCTTCATTGTAAGCCATGCTGAAGCACTTACTGAAGCACTTATTCATAGCGATGCTACCAAGGCCCCTCAGAAAGCTAGGGAATCAGCTTGGTGGTGAACTCAAAATGTGTACTTTTTTTTTCTTCTACAACACCTTATTATTAACCCTGAATCCAGACTATGTGATGTTTTTGTAAAAGCTTGTTATTTAATAGAAAATAGTATTTGGGGGCAAAGTAGGTATCAAAGTAGGTATCTGCAAAAACTTAAATTTGTAGCTCTACTTTGGAAAAGAATGTCTTTTCAGAAGAAATTAAAAATATTAAAAATTTATCTGGCCAGAGTAAAGGCATCACTTGAGAAGGTAAGTACTTCTGTTATACTGAGGACAGTTTTAATAAACATATTTTGAGTCCCTCCTATGTTCTGGGCACTGTGCTATGAGATGGGGGAACAGAATGACTGGGAAACTGCTGGGCCCAACAGAGCTCCTTATAGTCTCCTGGGGCTGGGGAGTAGGAGTGTGGGCAGAGGATGAGACAAAAGACCTCAGATGGCCGGGCATGGTGGTGCATGCCTGTAATCCCAGCAGCTTGGGACGCTTAGGCAGGAGGATCATGAGTTCAAAGCCAGCCTCGGCAATAGCAAGGCACTAAGCAACTCAGTGAGACCCTGTCTCTAAAGAAAATACAAAATAGGGTTGAGAATGTGGCTCAGTGGTTTAGTGTCCCTGAGTTCAATCACCGGTACCAAAAAAAAAAAGAAGAAGACCTCAGACCAACACCTCTCAGGTATATTCTACCAGTGATGTGCTTCTCTCTATACCTAGTGCTAGGGGAATCCACGTGAGAGAACAGTTCGTTGTGTTTGAGATGGGTGATTTGGAAAAGGTAGCCACTGAGCTGGGTGTTGAAGGATGAGTAGGAAACCATCAGGTGGATGGTAATGTCCATGATGATGATGATGATGATGATGATGATAGTTAGAGAGCAAGTAACACTATAGTGTTCTTACAATGGGCCAGGCAGTGTTCTATGTCAGTGGTTCTCAAAGTGTGTTTTATAGATCAGAAACATCAGCATTACTTGGGAGTTTGTTAGAAAAGCAGATCCTCAGGCCCCATCCCAGACCTACTGAATCAGGGGTGGGGCCAGCAATGTGAGTCCTACCAAGCCCTCCAAATTATTCTGGAGCACARTTAGGTTTGAGGACTACTGTTCTAGCACTTTGTATACATTGACTCATTTAAAGCTCACAACAACCTTATGAGCTGGATACTATTATCTCCCTTTTGCACTTGAAGAAACTAGGTAAAGTGGTGAGGTTGAAAACTGGACCTAGTAGCCATGGAGTGCTTCAGTGTGGGAGGTGTTCTGAGAAATGTGTGCTTAGGTGACTTCATCCTTGTGTGAACATCACAGACAGTGTTTAGACAAAGCAGATGGCAGGATCATCACAGTGTGGCTCTTTGATGAAATCAAGAGAGGTGCTAAATGGGAGATGCSTGGGGATGCTTCCTGCATAGCGCAGCATATGGTCTTACAGTAAACTGAGTTTTTAGAAGGAGTACACCTTAAACTAATGATAAAAATATAGTAAGCACATAAATCAGTAACATCGTTGTTTATTGATATTATCAAGTGCTATACATAATTGTACATGCTGTGCTTCTATATGGYGGATGCACAGTAGGGTTGTTTACACCAGCATCATTTAATAGGTCGTGCTGTGATGTCTCGATGCCTGTGGCATCATTGGGTGATAGGCGCTTTTCAGCTCATTATGGTCCCATGGGAGCACCACAGTAAATGGGTTCATCCTTGACGTAAGAGTCGTTATGCAGAACATGACTGTATTTCTCACTCTAGAGAGAAAAGTGGCAGCTGGCATGTGTCTTATTTTTAAAAGTGTCTGTCTCTCCATACTCATTTGTCATTCCTGCCTCACCCTCCCACATGCACTCTAAGAAGCTCTGCTGGTTGACATGTTTGTGCTCTCTGGGCCTTTTGGCTGAGCCCTAGCTTCTCCCTTSTCTACGTGGCAGACCCCAAACCTCATTTATCCCCCGTGCTCTGCTGCTAACTTGGTACTTCCACAAGGAAGCCTTCCTGTCACCCCCTTCTTGCCCTTGTTTGTCTTTCTTCTCCCCCAGAGGTCTTTTTATTCTTCTATCCTAGAATTTATCTCCTTGTTGTACATGTTGGTTTCTAGGCCTCTTCTGGAGCACAGTGCTTCTTGAACGGAATCTTGTCTTGCACGTCATTGTCTCTGGCCTCCTGTATGATGGGCACTTGTTAAATATTTGACAAATGAGAGAAAGAATAAATTAATGCATGAGTTTTTAAGTAGGAGTAAAATGTGCTTTCAGAGCTCTGTTTTAGGAAAGTGAACCTTGACAGCTATGTGGGACAAAGTTTGGAAGAAGGAGAGACTAACTGCAAGGAGTCCCAGTTAGGAGAGAGAATACGAACACGAACAAGGGAACAGATGCAAAAATGGTTGGAGGAGGGATCATTGGCAGAGGGAAGAAAATGTGAGGAAAGGGGTAGATTTCTGGGGGAACAAAATGAGTACCTTTTTTTTTTTTTTAAAGATAGTCAAGGGACAGCAGGAATTTAAGCAAAGTCTGGTTCAGAAATATCTGAGCAGTCATCTGTACAGAGTTGGACACTCTAGGAGAACACTTGTATGCAAAGGGAGGGGAGCAGACTTATTGAGTACCYACTATGTACTGGACACTGGCATTTTCAGATTCGTACCTCATTTTCTCTTCACTTCCCCATTACTTAATACTCCAGCAATACCACTCAATCTGGAACTGTCCAGACCTCTTGTTCCTGTAGGTCCATCTGCCCGGAGAGCCCACCTACCATACTGTTCTTCATCCTTCATAACCATCCCCACGCATTGTGATTAGATTCACTCTTAAGTTCCTCCCCTTTTCCCTCAAGTCATTCATTACACTTTTCTAGAGTGATCTTTTAGAAAAGTCTATGAAGACGATGCCCATGGACAAGATCCCATTTGTGGCAACTGTTCATGTGCTCTCTAGTAGAAACACATATTTGGAATACCGTGAACTTATTAATGYTCTGTAATTTATTTGAAGACTGCAGGACTTTCGCCTGGAAGTTTTAAAAGAGCTACTGAGGAGGCGTGAAGAGCGTCAAAATGAACTGGACATGAAGCACTTGAATGCCCAGTGGAGTAAACTGCAGGAAGCAAAAGAAGCCAAACTGGCCCAAATCCATCGCACACATATATCAAGTAATGGTGTAGTATGAGGACGGGAGAAAATGGAAAAGGGGGCTTTTCTCTCTAATTTAGCTATGATAAAGTTCTGTTTGCATTCTAGTGTTATCAGATAGGTAAGGGATGAGAGATGAGTTATTTTTCAAAGGTAGAAGGGTGTCCCTCTCTACATCAAGTGACCACATTCTAATAGGTAGTTAAGTTGTTGATGTTATGGAGGGGGTGAGTGTTGGTTCCTCATATTGATGTCCAAGGCCCTGGATAGAGAATCCTATTGCTCCACTTTTTTTTTGTCATTATTGTCCCCTAAAAATGAACTTTAAGATACATTTTTTTCCTAATCACACCTCTCCAAGAAATTTTAATACCACTAACATCTTGTATATATGTTTATGTTCTACAAATGTATTTGTGMTTCATGTATAAAAATAGGAAATGTACACCTTACTCTTTATTCAATGCAGAATTAAGAATTACTTGGGTTGGGGCCATGGCTCAGTGCCTAGCATGCGTGAGGCACTGGGTTCTATCCTCAGCACCACATAATAATAAAATAAAGATATTGTGCCCATCTATAACTAAAAACTAAATATTTTTTAAAAAGAATAAAAAATTTAAGTGAAAAATTTTAAATTATTAACATTTAATGGTAAAGCTTTACTTACTGAGAAACTGTTAATGTCATTTATTTACTTAAAAATTCTATTACCTCCATATGCAAATTAGCAACTGATATATATACAAGTAACAATCACATTTTAGAAAATAATTCAAAACTACTAGTTTTCTAACAAAAGTTAAGCAATTACAAAAATTAAATTACTGCTTAAAATTATTTTGGTGAATGTAAATTCCTTTTTTTTTTTTTTGTAGTGCTGGGGATTGAACAAGCAAGCACTCTACCAACTGAGCTACATTCCCCAGCCCTTCCTYAATTCCTTCTTGGATGTAAAAAAGTAACTTTTAATTTACAATTAGATATTCATTTATTTATTGTTAACCTTTTTTTCTTTTCGGTACTTGACATAACTAGTGAAGTATCTGACTAATTTTGTAGATAAGTAATAAAATATAAACTATTTTTACTTAATTCTAAAACTCTAAGTCCCATACAAAAGTGCTAATGATTAAACAGACAATAAATATGCTCAAGGCAGAGACATCATATGATTTACACTTTGGGGGTGCACCTGGAGCCATTTAAAGGGAATGGATCTGTGAAGAAAGGAAAAGAGCAGGTGGAAGACAGAGAGCATGACCCCTGAGCTGAGAATTCTCCTAATGGGCACCGGTGAAACTTTCCCCTTTGACTGCCAGACAAGTCTGAAAGCTGTAAACAGAGTCATTTTCTGGTTATTCTGATGTTAGCCAAGATGAACCTGTAGTCCTCTCTTTTAATTGTAGGGGAGAGTAAGTCTCCTAGCACTCACTGAACCTGTCTTTTCTATTTACTTTGGATTTCCCTCATTTAACAAACTTTTATGGAAAACATCTTGGCCCAAAGCTTTTAAAAGCTTGCAGTTATAAAAGTTTTTGATTAGTACGAGTTGACAACTAGCTGATTTGGCTCCTGTCACTCCTACCTATCTCATGGCAGACCTGTCTTTAGTGTCACATTCTGGCTCTAGTGAATCATCCTGAAATTCATTTAGTTCAGTAGCTTTCCAATGAATAAAACTAGAATAGTTTACTATTTTGCATTTCTAATTCAGAACAATATTTTGGAGAGAGTCATGTAGGTATGTTTTATTTCAGCAATCAGAAAGCTTGAAGGAAAGGGAAAGAATATAGAAGGGAAACTGAAAAAAAGAGATATCATCAAGGATTATTCTGATTATGCATCACAGGTCTATGGACCTCTATCTCGCCTTGGCCGTTTCCCAGACAACAACTCAGAGGACTTTGTAGTAAAAAACTACTATCTCAACACCTATGAAGGTAAGCAATTTGCATAATTAGAAGTCTATTATAAGAGGGCTATCTTGGACATGTGGATTAAATATATAAATTTAGACTAAAAGCTAAACAATAAAAAATATTTGTAGGAAACAGCAACGAACAGATTTAATGTGATTATTAATATAAATTCATACAAACCAATAAAAACTCCTAAGACACAAATGAATATATGGACACACTATAGAACATTTTAACAAGGTAAATTCAACTAGCTACTAAATGTTTGAAAATGTTTAATATAGTTAATAATCAAAGTTATGCAAAAATTAACTAGAAAAAAAACCTTTTATAGCAGGTTTATGAAACAAACAAGACTTTCATAATGAATCAACCTGAAAGAAAGAAATGTCAGAAAACTAGAGGGCAAAGGGATGGGTAGTCAGGTGGTAAATTCACAGAGAGGACTGTTTCTTTTCTAAAATGTAGGAGGCTTATTTAAATAGTTTAAATTTGAGTTCATAAGTTGAAGCATCGTGTGGCCAAGATCATGAGTTGATCATCACACTGTTGAACTTTAGCTCTGACTGGCCATTTCTAGAGGAGAATATGACAATGTGAGAGAATATGAACATTCTCTTTAGAGTGGTGGCAACATGTATCTTAGCATTTTTGATTTTCTGTTGATAGTAATAGAATTTATTGTTCCTTTGTAGGGTAACATTGTTATTTTAGAATACATTTATTATTTTATAGTTCAAGACACTGAGAACATGTGTTAATTACACAGAAATGTGCTTACCATTTTAGGGGCAGTTCATTCTATTATATGAGTACAGCTTATCAACACCTCCAACAAAATCCATTTTAATTTTACTAAAATTAAACATATTCATCTGAAATGGTAAATTTAAGCACTAGATACTAAAACCGTGTGCTTCCTTCCCATAGGATTAATTGAACTTGAATCAAATCTTCCAGATTTTGTGACACAACCGAGAATCAGAACTCCAAAACCAAAAGTCGGTACCACTAAATCTGGTTTTCTGAAGAGGGCAGCAAGACTGGACTATGAGTTGACAGAGGTTCATAAGGTATCATTGTTATCTGGAAGACAAGAGGCTTCTAGTAAGACTTCTGCAGAAAAATGCTGTAGTCTAATTTGTACTTTGTTTGGGGCRGTGTTGAGCAGTGGGTCTAATGTAGGACCTTGTGTTCTTTTTTTCCTCGCTAGACTTTTCTCTTCTGGAGGTTCCCCCTGATGTGCAAACCCATGTGCTTTCCTCCCCTCACTTCAAAATGAAGGAAAACTTAGAAGTTATTCTTCCCATTTAGAGAACTCATGTTCCTTTCTGAAAGTGTTCAAATTTGGATCTATAAATTAAAATTTGACACTTTACTAAGGAATAGCAAATTTCTAGGATTAGTATTAACTCTTCGTGTTAATAGTTGCAAAAGGCTCCATTTTCTCCACTTCATAATTGTTACGAGGGCATCATGAATATAAGGAGGCATCATGAATAARAGCAGGCATATTCAACAGCTTTCTCATTTAGATGAGAGAGTTTGATGGTCATCAAACTTTAGTATGCATCAGAATCATGTGGGAGGCTTGTTGAAACATGTTGCTGGGTCCCCCCCATTTCTGTTAGGTAGGTTGGGGTGAAGCTTCCTGGAGTGCTGGCATATTTAAAAAAAAAAATTTCCAGTTGATGCTGATGCTCCAGGCCCAGGAAACACACTTTGGGACCCATTGGTTTATGATGAGCACCCATCACTAGTCCATTCATGTTTGTTTGTTCCATTGATTTCAGTAATAAGAGTCCATGGGAACCCAGGCTCAACAATGATGTACATGTATCTATGCGGTTCTTTCTCATCTAATTCCCCTGTCTACTTTTACCTATGCAGAATATTGTGTTCACTATATGCTTCCTTTCTATAAGAATGTGTTTTCTTTTATTAGAGCTTAATCGTTATACACAGTAGTTGGGTTCATTCTGTCAAACTCATACATACATGGAAATTGATTTCAGCTCATTATCCYCTCTTTTCTTTCCCCCTTTTCCCTCCTGTCCTCTCCCCTCTCCCAGTCTCCTTTCTTTACCCTACCAGACTTCCTTTTGTTCATCTATTTATTTGATTGATTCTTTATGTTGGATAACATAAAGAACATCCTTCCCTTGTTCTTCCCTTTATTTTACTCTAGCTTCTGCATATGAGAGAAAATATTCRACTTTTAAGTTTCTGAATTTGGCTAATTTTTCCTAGTATAATATTCTCCATTTCCATCTACTTATCTGCAAATGCCATAATTTTATTCTTTTATTATGACTGAGTAGAACTCCATTGTGCGCATATATATATATATGCACATAGATATATCACAGTTTCTTAATTCATCCATCTATCTATTAATGTGCATAACTTAGCTATTGTGAATTGTGCTACTACAAATATTGATGTGATTATTTTGCTATATATGCTGATTTTACATCTTTTGGAAAAATAACAAGGAGTGGGACAGCTGGGTCATATGGTGGTTCCATCCCTAGTTTTTTGAGGACTCTCCATACTGATTTCCAGAGTGGTTTTACTAGTCTGCAGTCCCACCAACAACGTAAAGGTGTACCATTTCCCCCACAACCTCACCAGTGTTTATTATTGTTTGTTTTCTTGATCATTTTCATTCTGACTAGAATGAGATGAAATTTTAGTTTAGGTTTGATTTGCATTTCCCTGATTGCTAGAGATGTTGAACATTTTTTCACTCAGTTGTTAGCTGTATGTGTAGGTCTCTTCTTTTGAGAAGTTTCTGTTTCATTCTTTTGTTCATTTATTGATTGAGTTATTTGGTTTTTTGGTGTTAGGTTTTTTTGAGTTCTTTGTAGGTTCTGGATATTAATCCCCTATAGGAGGAGTAGCTGGCCAACATTTTCTCCCATTCTGTAGGCTCTTTCTTCTTGCTCTTAGTCATTTATTTGCTGTACAGAAGCTTTTTAGCTTGAGAGCATCCCACTTATTGATTCTTGGTTTTATTTCTTGTGCTTTGGGGGTCTGTTCAAGGATGGTTGGTTCCATAGTTTAGCTATTGTGAGTTCAGCTGCTATAAACACTGATGTGGCTGTGTCACTGTAGTATGCCTCAGTTTAGGTATAAACTGAGGAGTRGGATAGCTGGATCAAATAGTGGTTCCATTCCAAGTTTTCTGARGAATCTCCATATCACATAATGGTTGCTCCCAATTTGCAGTCCCACCAGCACTGTATGAGTGTACCTTTTTCCCCATATCCTCATCAGGATTTATTGTTGCTTGTATCCTTGATAATTGCCATCTGACTGGAGTGGGATAAAATCTTAAAGTAGTTTTGATATGCATTTCTCTAATTGCTAGAGATGTTGAAAATTTTTTCATATATTTTTGATTGATTGTATTCCTTCTTCTGTGAAGTGTCTGTTCTGTCCTTAGCCCATTTATTGATTGAATTATTTGTTCTTTTGGTGTTGAGTTTTTTGAGTTCTTTATAGATCCTGGATATTAGCACTCTATCTGAGGTGTGTGTGGTAAAGATTTTCCCCCATTCTATAGTCTCTCTCTTCACATTATTGATTGTGTCCTTTGCTGAGAAGAGTAAGAATGTTTTTGTGGATGATTTTTGTGAGGTCTCAGAAGCCCCCTTTTGTTCTTAATTTACTAAAGGTCTTACTGTGTCTTTGTTGAATTTTTTCAGGCACTTATCAAATTTWCATAGGTATTTTAAGCTGAACACTTCATTTAAAACACTGATTTCTGCTGCATTCCACTAGTTTTGATATGTAGTATTTGTCATTATTCTTATTCTAATATCTAAAAATGTTCAATATTGTTTTTGAACCTGTGAGTATTTAACAGTGTTTTAAAATGTCCAAATATGTAGGAATTTAAACTCATTTTTTTTTCAATTAACTTACTCAATTGCACTGTGATTAGAGCTAATAGTCTATGTGATACCTTTTCTTTGAAATTTAGTGAGGGTTGCTTTGTGGACTAGTATATGATTATACATATAACATAATCAAAGTCCACCTTTAGATCCTACTATACCCCTCATGTGTGGGGCAGGTACCTTATAGCAGATAATTCCCATTTCCWGTCTCCCATCCTTGTGGCATTGCTTTGATTCAAAAGCTGTAATCACCCAATACATTTTTACTCTTATTGCTTTAACAGATTGTTATCTTTTAATGCAATTAAAAATTAGAAAAGTAAGATAAGATTTTGTTCTACCTCATTTGTTCTTTTGTTGCCATTCTTCCGTTGTTCATGTATCTACACAGACTTCTAAGTCTCCGACCTGAACAACTGATTTCATTGTCTCACATGGTGCTCTGGCAAGCAGCTTCAGTGTTTGTCTGTCTCAAGAGTCTTCCTCCTTTACTGTTGTAGAGGGAGGGAGGTGTAATTCACACACAACAGAAATCTGCCCATTTAAAATGTCCAACTCAGTGTTTTTAGCATGTTCACAAAATTGTGCCACCATCAACACATTTAATTCCTGAATATTTTCATCGTCCCCTAAACAAATGCCAGACCCACTAGCAGTCACTTCCAATTCCCCTCTTCCTCATTCCCTCACAACCACTGTTCTGCTTTTTCATTATGGATTTGCTTATGCTGAGCATATTGTGTAAACTGAATYGTGCATTAAATGGCATTTTTAAATTTGGCTTCTTTCACTTAGCATAGCATTTTAAGGTCAGTCCACATTCCCATACATCTCATTACTCCATTCTTTTTATGACTGCATAATATTCCATTGCATAGATATACCACATTTATTTATCCACTCATCAGCTGATGAATATTTGAATCATTTCTAGTATTGGCTATTACAAGTAGTGTTACTGTGCACTTTTATGTTCAAGTTTCTGTGTGGACATGTTTTTAGTTCTCTTGGGCATATCTCTAGGAGTGGGATTGTTGGGTCCTACAGAAACTTATGTTTTACTTTTGAGAAACTGCTAGATTGTTTCCAAAGTGACTGGACTGTCTTATATTCACATCAACCATGTATGAGGGTTCCAGTTTCTCCATCATTTATTATTGTTTTATCATAGCTATTCCAGTATGTGTGATATGATATCTCATTGTGGTTTTGATTCACATTTCTCTAATAATTAATAATATCAAGCATCTTTTTAAGTACCTGTTACTCATTTAGATCTCTTTTTTGAAGATATGTCTATTTAGATCCTTCACCCATTTAATAATTTTTTTTAAATTGTTGAGTTATAAGAGTTCATTGTATATTCTGGAGACTAGACCTTTATTAGATATTTGATTTACAAAGTTTTCTCCCATTCTGTGGGTTGTCTTTTTCATCTTCTTAATAATATCCTTTGAAATCCAGAGTTTTGATTTATATATATATATATATATATATATATATATATATACATACATACATATATATTTTAGTTTCAAAGAGTGATTTTGCTGAGAATAGAATTCTAATTTGTTTTCTTTCCTCTTCCAACTCTTCAAAGATTTTACTCCACTTTCCTCTTGCTTGCGTTGTTTCTTACTAGAAATCTGCTATAATTCTTATCTTTGTTTCTCCATGGATAAGAGGTTTCTTAAAATTTACTTTATGTGGGCTGGGGATGTGGCTCTAGCGGTAGCGCGCTCGCCTGGCATGCCTGCAGCCCGGGTTCGATCCTCAGCACTACATACCAACAAAGATGTTGTGTCCGCCGAGAACTAAAAAAAAAATAATAAATATTAAAAATTCTCTCTCTCTCTCTCTCTCCTCTCTCACTCTCTCTTTAAAAAAAAATTTATGAGCTAAGTCATGAAATCATGGAGGAGAAATATTCAGAAAAGCATAAAAGCATTGCCAAGTGCAGTATTTTCAGGCCATTTTGGTAGAAATTTAAGCTGGAATATATTTCTGATGCTTTGTGAAAATAAATTMTTTAAATTTGCCTTTTGAGCATATTAAAATGTATTGTTTGGTAAGAATATTTCTTTAATATTCTCATGTTCATTYATACTCTTTCCCTCAGCTCCACTTTTATAGGCAATTATGAGTCTGAGATTAAAGAAAATTGCATTTTTGTTTGATTATTATTTTAATTGGATTTCCTGACCAAATAATTTTCTTTTAATTGTAACAGTTTTGAGAATTTTTTTCTTTTAAAAAAAATTTGGATATTTTTCATTTTTTCTTGTATTTAAAATTAATTTGTTGACTAAGCAACATATTACATAGTTCAAAATCCATGAGTTATTTAAGAATATTAACCTAAATGTTTTTCTTACATACTTGTCTCTCAGTCATGTAGTTCTGTCTCTGGATGAAACTCATGTTATTAGATTCATGCATGTYCTTTCAGAGAGATTTGATACAAGCAAATATCTGTATATGTGTACATATATGTGAGTRTATTTAAATATATACCTGCACAGAAGCATACATGTTCATGTACATTAGTACATTTTTAAATATGTTCTAGCAAATATGTCTAAACACATATAAGTCTCTTTTAGAATTCTTTATAATTCACATGTAAATAGATAAAGTGTGCTGTTCTACCCTTGCATTTTTTACTTAATATATCTCAGAAATCGATTTATGTCATTATTACCAGAAAAACTTTCTTATCATTTTTCATACTTTCAGGATATGTCATGGTATAAATGTACAAMAATTCATTTTTTGATAGATATTTAAATTGTAACTAATGCTGCAAACCAGGTATGGTGCCTCACACCTGTAATYCCAACTACCTGGGAGGCTGAGGCAGGAGRTTCAAGGTCTACCTGGGTAACTTAGCCAGACCTTGTCTTAAGATAAAAAGTAAAAAGAGGGGGTTCCCTCAGTGGTAGAGTGCACCTGGGTTCAACCCCAAGTACTGAAAACAAAAACCCAGACAACAACACTACACTGCAGTGAGTAACATTTTTTTGCATATAATTTGGCACATGTGTGAACATATCTAGAAGATAAATTCCTTGACTTGGAATTTCTGGACCACAAATGTACGTGTACTTATAATTTTGTGGATATTACCAAATGCTCTTATTTAAATGATTTATCAATGTTAGCAATATTCAAAAGCACCATTTTCCCACATCCTTATCTACATAATTGGTTATGGATGATTGGTTTTGAAATAGTTTCATGTGGTATTGTTCAGGACTCTTCCCTCAAGACYTCATAAATTATTAATTGCTTTTAGACTGCTGCTGATTTCTGTGGAGTCACCAGTTGTGGTTATTGTAGGGCTGATATATATTTGCTGTCAGTTTTATTTTGGGCAAACTCAGAGGCTCCATTACAACCACAGTTAGATGGTTTTAAATTTTATCCATGATTTGCATATTTTTAAGCAGTTTCAGGTATGTGTGTGTGTGTGTGTGTGTGTGTGTGTGTGTTTTAAAACAGTGTTTATCTATGTTTTTAAGAAAAATATAATTTAAAGTATATTATATGATGAAAAATTAACTGAAGTATGATTTTAAAATAACAAGCAGGATTTTTCCTTCTTTTAACTTAAAAATATTCCCCTCTGGTCAAAATAGAACCAATGAGCAAAATCTTACATTATGTGTTATTTGAGGACTTTTAGTGATCAAAAATTCTAAAAAGATATGTCAAAATACAAACACACATATAACTGTCTCACTAGGAAACAAGCTAATTTTTTAAGAATCTGRATGTTCAGGTTTCAAGGCCAAAGAAAAGATCTCTTCTCCACTTTGAGATAATTGCCATCAAATGTGCTTCAGTTTCCCTAGTAACAATAAGATATACCAAATATTTCAATCATTTGCTGCATAGCAAAATTTCCTCTGCTCAGACATTCATGTGATACAGCAAATTAGCTCATGTGGAAAAACAGGAGTTGGAGTTTTGCTTGTGTGCACATAAGACAGAACCTTTTAAAAACTCATAATAGATTGGGATTGTAGCTCAGTGGTAGAGCACTTGTCTAGCATGTGCACGGCCCTGGGTTTGATACCCAGTACCACACACACACACACCAAAAAAATCCTTTAAACCTCCCAAATCTTTTATTAAAATATATACACTAAGAATATGTGCCATATTTATTGAGTGGTTACCCATTCCTTAGGAGTATCACAGCACCCCGTGGGAAATGCATACACCCCATTTGTACTTTCTCAAGCTGACCCAGCATAGCCATAGAAATATTGTTTTTGATTGATATTCAGATCTGCAGCCTCGATCTSTTAGTGGAGGAAAATACAAAGAAAAGGGATGACATTAGTTGGCATTATTTCAGGCACTGTTGGAAAAGAAGAGTAAAGGTCTGGAACCAAAGAAACCTCTGCGCCTCCTTCAAAGAAACCCCATACCTGAGCCTCGGCTTCCAACTCCAACCTTGGAAATGAGTTCCAATGTAAGTTTGAAACTTTTATTTGAAATGCAGAATTCAGTATTGTAATCAGTTCATTTTAGGATAGTTTGGGTTGAAAACAAATCTAATTTAACAGTGTTAGTTTTTCAAGCTCTGATTTTTTAAATTGATATTACATATTTATTAAGGCAAGGAACTATACAGAAAAAAACACATTTGTTCTGTCAGGCTCTGATTTAAAGCTGATTTTATTTTTTAAAATTTATTTTATTTATCTTTATTTATTTTATTCTTATATACTAAGCATCAGCTACACATAAAACTAAGCATAGTGAATGAAGTGAAATATAAACCCAGTCTTTTTCAAGAATAAAATCAGAAAGARTGAAAGCTCTTCTGATGAAAATAGGAATCAGAAGGTAATCTTTCACATGCCAAGTTGAAAAAGAAGATTGAGAGATGATCAATTACCCTACTGTCTCTCTTCCCACGTGAGGGGCAGAGGGCTGTGGGAGTCAAGGAGGAAGGAAATGCTACAGAAATCCTAAGGACAGACGGGCTTCTGGGCGAGTCTCCCTAACCAGGGCTACTTCTAATTAAACTCAACTTGGGCAAGATACCAGAGTTGGTTAAAAAAAAAAAAACCTGCTAGAGATGCCACAGGGCAAAGTTATTTATTGAGAGAAACAGAATGCCAGGTAGATTGGGCTCCCTCTTTGCCTGGCCAGCACAGAATCTCTGTGTGGAGGGCAAGTCCCCACAAAATGTCCACCTGTGTTCAGAAGGTGTGCTACATYAGGGTAGGGTTGACAAGAGATCTCATGAATGCCTGTCACCACCTGTGATGACCTGTGTGGCCTCCGTGGAGGGACTGAAACACTCCCACTGACTGGCCACACTGCCCCTTTCATGCAGGCCTTTGGATGCACATCTTTGGGCTCTAGGTGTTTGTGCTCCCATCAGGCTGTTACTTTCTTTGACACTGAAAGGCACCTTGGTTAGATTTCCAGATCCCGATCTTTCTGCTTTTTGCACAGAATTATTTAAGGTGATTTTTGTAGATTAACTTATGCAGTATATTCTGGAATTTACCAGTTTAGCTAAATTCCTGTGAGAAGTACCTCCCTGCAACATGGACAACAGAGTTGTTTTCTTTACTAGCTCATGATCTAACACCAAAATACTATGCTGAAAGGTTAATTCAAGCAATACTTGTTGTTTCAAGAAAGTTTTTTTTTTTCTTTTGGAAATGGCATCATTTGAAGGGACAGCATGGTAGTCTTATCATTTTTGGGCTTTAATATGATCTGGTAATGATGTTTATGATGAAAAAAGAATGATGTTAATGATACATTAAGTAACATTGTTTGAAGTACTACATATTCAATGAGGGAAGAGACTGTGCTTTATTTCTTTTTAAATCCTTCTGGCATCTAGCGTCATTTCTTGCTTGAAATAAATCTTCAAAAAAATATCTGATGCTTGGATTGCTGCTCTTCTCAGGCTGCTTGGTTCTTCTCCCTTTGTTCTTTCAGGAAGAAGAAGACATAGAAATGGCTGTGATCTACCTTCAAAGCTTACTCCGGGGTAGAGTCGTTCAGAACATGGTGTGTAGGTCCAACTACAGGCCCTGTGTTTCTCCTTTGAGAATGAGACTTTTAGAATGCATATGCSCTTGATTTGTTGGAATGAATTCCCTCTTGCGTCCTGCTACCCTGTTCAGCTGTCTTTTAATTCACCTATCCATCTCCTTCTAGTGCWGTTGTTTGTCCAGGTGGGTGACACAGTGTTAAGGAGTGGAAGGACGTGACTACTTCTTGYCACAGTTGTAAATAAGGCAGTGTGAAACTTATTTCATCCCTCGAATTACTTATTCAATGAAATTTCTCACCTGAATTTTGACTGTTAAAGAATTACAAATTAAATGGCTTCCCTAATTTTCCACTGACTCATAACAGTTATTTGAATTTGTGTAGTTAACAATACCTGCATTATAAATGACATAGCTCATAGTGATAACTCCCCTTTTAAACTTGTTTTAGTCATTTTTTTATTGCTCTGACCAAAAGACCAATCAAGAACTACATAGAGGAGGAAAGGTTTATTTGGGYCTCCTGGTTTTATAGGTCTCAGTCCATAGACAGCYGACTCTGTTGCTTTGGGCCCCAGGTAAGGCAGACCATCATGGCAGAAAACCGTGGAGGAAGAAAGCAGCTCAGGACATGAAACCAGGCAGCAGAGAGAGACAGAGAGAGACAGAGACAGAGAGACGGGGAGGAACAGAGACAGAGATGAGACAGAAAGAAAGAGAGAAAGAGAGCGAGCTCCCCTCATCATGGACAAAATATAAACCCCAAAGGCCCGCCCTAGGTGACCCACCTCCTCCAGCCACAACCTACCTGCCTACAGTTAACACCCAGTTAATCCCCATCAGGGCATTGATGCACTGATTAGGTTAAGGCTGTCATAACTCAATCATTTCATTCTGAACTTTCTTGCATTGTCTCACACATGAGCTTTTGGGGGACACCTAGTATCTAAACCATAAAAGAACCCCTATTATATTCTGACATTGTTGTATGTTTTGCTCTGTTTTTGTTTGTTTTTCTATCAGGAATCTCATTTTAAAGGCAAGTAATCTGAGTTTGAGATCCGGTTAGTTCACTACCAGCCAGTTCAACTCTGGTCTTCCTGACTGTAAAGGCTTAGCCAGATTATTGTGCAGCTGGAGCAGACACGCTTTACCTTAAAAAAAAAAAAAAAAAAAAGAAAAAAAGGCTGATTTAAATCTCTAGATAGTTTTACCCCTAAAGAACTTTGATCCATGGAGTAACTTCAGGAAAGCTGGATGAGGGAGTGCCCTTGCATTTCATCGGTATTCTTTACTCTCCCTTCAGTACTTCCCAGGAGGAGTGCTGCAGGTAAATTCAAACTGCAGCCTGTGTCTTACAAACCAGGGGCACATTTTTGGRAATGAAAACATGACCATGAAAAATGCTGCCCCCAGGTTTCTTAGGGAAGGAGCACCTGAAGGGGAAGGCTCTAGTTTCTTACTGTGACCCTATATTTGTCACCTTGTCTTGCCTTTCTCTGTTTGAGCCCCTGAAGCATTGAAAAGGGAACGAAATTCTAGCTCTGTGGGTCCCACCTGCCCAAAAGCCAGGAAAGAACTCTCTGCTCACAAGTGCCTCACATTTGTGAAGCTCCTAGTGCTGGGAAAAAAGGGATGGTAACCTGCCAGCCTGTCTTTGATTTGATTTGCCACAGATGTTTGAAGGGAAAGAAAAGCGACTGGAGTTGATCCAGGAACTGCGCACCAGCCAYGCACTCCAAGAGGATGAGAAACTGGTAAAGAAAGCCGAGAAGCAAGTGACCCTGGCCTTACAACGGCAGAGAAACTTGCACGAGCACAAGGTTCTTCCTTTTCTTTCTTGTTTTCATTATTGCACAAGTGATATTTTAATAACAAGAAATGAAATGTTACAGAATATCCCCCAGCACTCTCTCAGCATTTTAAACAATGTTGTTGTAGTTCATAATTTGGGATTATACTCTCACTGAATTGAATATGGTATTTTTATCTTTATTTGCAAAAAAAAGAAAGAAAGAAAGAAAGAAAGGAAGAAAGAAAGAAAGAAAGAAAGAAAGAAAGAAAGAAAGGGAGAAAGGGGGAATGAGGATAAGGAGAGAGAAGATAAATTCCTAAAACAAAGAAAAATGCACTTTTTCAACTTAAAGATTTTTTTCTTTCCTAAATATTGGTAACTACTGTATTTCAGTGGGTGAGGACCAAGCAGAATAAATAATAAAAACAACATGAAAAAAGTGAGAAATGGGATTTTAAAATATCAGCACTTATTTTTGCATTTTGTAGCCATATACAGCACATGCCGGTTAAATATGTTACTACCTACTATGGTATTTGGTGACTTTCATCTGACCTGTCTCTCTGACACCTGACATAGCTAAGAACTGCAGCTCTAAACCAACAACTGTCAATTTTTTCTATTCTCTTCAGTGTTTGTCTATATACACATTTTTAAATGTCATTGACTTTAATATAGATGCACTTTAATTCCCTTTCCCACTTACCTCTGAATCAATCTGAAAATCAATTTGCAAAGTTTAGTGTGGTAAGACTAAAGTTTGTTGTAGGCCAAGTTAACTTGACCCACCTTAGTAATGTACATAACTCTTGTGCCATGTGGGAATTGAGCACAAATGGCAAACAATTTGGAAATGACCACAACTCTACTTCTTTTACATGACATTGGTGCCATAAATGGTTACTGAGCTTGGGAGAGCAGGTGAGGGGATTGGGAGGGAGGAAGTAAGAAAGTTACAAGCAGTGAGACCTCACAAAGGGACCAGAGAAAGACAAGGAGAATGTGGACACTGGAGCATCTGAATTGGGAGCTCCTTGGACCTAGAAATATCCAGACATGAGGGCACCAAATCCTGAGACTCTGGGTGGGAAAATGGCCTCTTGGCCCTTCATGGTTTTTGATAATGGTGGACTTCAGCAGAGGCAGCTAAGCCAATGGGCTTGTCAATTAATTTTCCCCACTTGGTGGATGTATACATGGCTGATGAAGTCAGCTGAGAGTGAAGGGAGGCATTCATGGGGACAGCTGTCACTTAGCCAAGGTCCACTTACAGTCAGCTATACTAGGGAGATATATACCACTGCTCTGCAGGGGCCCAAGGGAAGAGCACCTCACCTTTCCTCCTTCTCTTTCTGGAAAGCTGTCCAGAAAATACACAATTCCCAGTTATGTGATACATTACATGCTATAACCACAGCAGAATCACCTTCTTAAATATTTTTACTTAATTTCATATTAGATTGTCCTACCTGAGCATACTCCAATTTCTTGCTGAAGAAGGAAGCAGTCATGAACAGATGGCCATCTTAGGACCTTAATGGTTGCATCTGCCTCCAGATGAGGGAGCTTATGTTTCTTGGAGACACAGAATTTGTTTGTGACCTCTGGGCATTTGTTCAGTAGTTATGAATGAAATAATGAAATGTTCTAGTCATGCCTTTCCTCCACTCCCTCATACAGCTCAAATTTCAACTAAGTGAAGTTGAACTTTGAGGTTACAAGGTACATGTAGGCTAGGAGATGGGTGAGGATGGGAATGTTAGGGCCAACAGCTACTTTGGACTGACAGTCTCACCCATAGCCACATTGCCTTTGAGACCTGTGAGTATCCTTTCTCTCAAATACAAACCAGGAGGGGAGCTGAGCAGAGGGCAAACTGTAAACATGAAGGCAGCATATGACTGGAAGAGGAACATTTTCCCCTTTAACCTGAGGACCAGGGAGGGAGCAGGATGAAGTTACACAGGATGACTCATCTTAAACACTGTCTTCTCCGTGTGTCAAAATCAGGACCTGGTAAATAGGTAGTGTGGGCGCTCTGGCTTCCTCCTGGCCAGGAGCTCCATGATCCCTTGTTCTATCTCAGTGATCACATAGACATTCAGGCTTTTCCCTGGGCTGTTTCAAAGATGGTTGTTAATGGCTTTGAAGTTATTAAAAAGACTAAAAAGTACCAAAGTTTTCTACTTTCATCTTATCTGAGATCTTAAAACTCCTCAAACTTGTRTGAAAGGATCAGACATTTAAAAATTAAAAGGTATCAGGAGTGAATTTCTAGGAGATTCTATTTTGTTAAACTCCAGTTTTAATAAGAACTTTGACATTTCCCTTCATGTCTGAGAAGATATRCTTGCCCTTTCAATCAAATTGAAAGGAAAAATACATTTTGTGTGGTTGTTAACAGAAATGTTTCCTAAATCCTCTTCATAATCCAAGGACTGTGATCCATCAGTGACTGACAGAACAATCTACTTTCTCTGTCTGAGTCTATAATAAGTTTTCATAGTAAGGATGCTTGGGATGGGGTCAATTGAGAGATAACATTCCTAATAGAAACCAACTGCCTTTGAACAGTGAATTGACTGTCAGAGTTCCGAGTAAACCAGCACTTCTGATAACCACATTCATAGTGGAATTTGTTGTATTATTATTTTTAAATAATAAAGTTGTATTATTACTTTTAAGGTGTCTCTGGTTGAAAATCATTTGGCCGGGCTTGAAGGAAGGGCTCTAGCTGACATGCTAGACTTCCTGTCCAAAGAGCTGGTGAGACTACAGGAAGAGAGGAGGATCCATGCCTTTGCCATGTTGGCAGAGCGTCAGCGGCGGATGCGAGAAGCCGAAGAGAGTGGTCGTCGCCAGGTGGAACAAAGGCGCCTGCGTGAGGAGGACCAGATATTTAAGGAGGCAAGTAGGGGAAGCCCAGGGCATGGAAATACCCTGGAAACAGCAAAGTTACACCAAAGCACTCCCATGACAAGAAATGGCATTGGGTTTTTGTTTTTCATTTTATTCAGCAAATATATACTGGGTTCCTGCGATATGCCAGGAACTGTGCAAAGACACTGTGGGGTATTTTGGAGGACAAAAGGCAGACAGAGTCCCTTTTCCCTGGAAGTTGAGAAACATAAAACATGCATATAAGTGTAGAATTAGAAAAATGCAGCAGTTCCACGAAGGAAGCAAATGGAGCCCAGTGACACATTGTAAAGAGGTTACTCTGCTTGTTGAATGGAGAAGAGGTGGGAGGAAGGACAGAGTAGGAATAGAGAGACTGGGAAGGAAGCTGTTGAAGTAGTGAAGCCTGAGGAAGAAACAGAAATCAAGTATGGTGCCTAGTTTAGAGMTTAAGCAACTGAAAGGTGATGGTCCTCTTTTCTGAGGTAGGTGAGTTGAGAGAATAAGTTTAGGGGTAGAATCAGGATTTCAATTTAAATTTGCTCAGGACAGCTGAATGGAGTTATTTTAATAGCTGCATATTTAAGATATAAAGAATMTTTAAATACAATCACACTTTTGCAGGTACATACACAAAAAAATTCACAAAAAATAACCCAGTGTGCACAATTAGCAAATACAAGGAGGAGCACACAAAGACACATACATAGCCATCTGTGTTTCTTTATTTACTCACACACTTACAAGCACAAATGTGTCCAGAAACTTACCTATTTATAAAGACACACAAGAACACTCAAGAACATATATCACTGTGAGAAGAGCACACACCTCTCTACTTTTTTACCATATAGGTGTGACTTGCTTCCTCTATGAGAGCAAGCTATTGTATATTTGCTCTGGGCCTTCTCTGACAATAGCATAGATTCCCATACCTACTAGACATTGAGCAAGTATATTTTGGTTACTTGGTCATTTGGTTGATACTATACTGAACTGTCACTGAGATACTCCTGTAGGGAAGGCCTAAGGGTTCAAAATTGGTGTCATATAGGTACATGTTCAGTATCACATACTCAGACTTGTGTTGCAGTGCCTGTCAAGAAACAGGTCCTGGGTTGTTACTGAGTCCTAGGCATTATCTCAATTCCAAAGAAATATCCAGACATGAAATAGAAAACTGCCCTGTCTCCAAAAAACTCACAATCCATTGAGGAGGCAGAATATATAACAAAACTCAGTATGTAGCAGTCGATGCTTATGATACTTCCTGTGTAAATACCTGTCAAACAGGCCAAAAGGCATTGCTTATTGTATTAGTCAGTTTTTCATCACTGACAAAATTTATTTCAGTATTTCATCAAAATACCTGACAAGAGCAACTTAGAGGAGGAAAAGTTTGGCTTACAGGTTCAGAGACTCAGTTCTTGATTGGCTGACCTCATTGCTCTGGGCTTGAGATGAGGCAGAACATCATGGTGGAAGGGCACAGTGGAGGAAAGCTTCAGCTCATGGCAGCCAGGAAGCAAAAAGAGAGAGTAGGGAGTCAGGGACAAAATATAACCCCCAGCAGCACTCCCCTGGTTACCTACTTCCTCCAGTCATACCCCAAGAACTGACAATTGCCATCTAGTAATACATTCAAATTATTAATCCACCAGGTGGATTAATCCACTGATGAGGTTGCAGATCTTATAATCTAACTATTTCACTTCTGAACATTCCTGAATTAACACATAAGTTTTTTGGGGACTCCTCATAACCAAACCATACACTTATGGTTGCACGCTTAGGGAGTAAAATTACAAAGCATAGGAGGTGTTTACTAGGACAGTCATTGAAATGAAAAGGGTCTGCAGTCATGTCCTTCTGAGGTACTAGCTGTGACTACATCGACGCTGGCCTAACTCACCGTACTGTACCTATGTGTTCTCTGCACATTTTAAAATCTGTATTCCATTTCAAGATTTCAAGAAAATTTTAAAAAGAAGGAGTCCGAGAATGTTGGGATAGTTCAGTAAGTTCTTCAGAGACACAAGATCCTCCCATCTTTCTGTTATTCGCCCCCTAAGTTATGGCCCATGTAGCAATTTAAGGTGACTACCTATGTACCAGCATTATGTCCCCATGAAATAAGAAAGAAAAAAAGAAGATAGAACTTTCCCTTTAAGAACTGTTTTTGGAAGTTACACACATAACTTCTGCATATATTGTCTTAGTTAGAATTTTATCATATGGCCATGTCCAGTTCCTATGRATGTTAGGAAATGAAGTCTTTATTCTAGGTACCTGATTACTCAGCTGAAATCCAGAGGTTCTGTTATTTAAGAGGAAAAACAGAAAGGATAAAGGGAAATGTGCTAGCCTCTACTACAGTTAGGTAGGTAATTTGGCCATGTCACGCTGTTGATAAAGACAAAGGCAGAAACCAAACCAGGGTTATTGAGCTGAAGCCTATGATCTTCCTGTGGTGCTATATTACCCACCCACAAGTAAGAGACATATTTCTTAATGGATAGGGGCTGCCCAGAATCAGTCAGTTGGTGAATGAGAAACAGAAGGAACTATTGACTTAATGAATGAAATACATGTGCTAGAAAACCATCAACCAATGTTTGTCTATTTTTTTGGTCTTTTTAAAATAATAGCTATTATTAGTAAGTAGGTGTACTTTTGCTCTTTGCAGGTGGTTAAAGTTCATCAAAGTACTGTATCCTCATATCTGGAAGACATAATACTGAGTACTGAAGAGAATACTGCAGAAGAACAGGCCAGAAAAGAAATTGAGAAGATGGCTGAGGAAATCAATGACATTGCTTATGAAATGGAAAACCGGTATGCACCAAGAGATTATAGAACGGACAGTCCATTTGCTGGTACTCATGTAATTTTTCAGGAGCTTAAGATTTCGCCACCAAGGAGAAACAAATATATAATTTGTGCTTCGATGTCTACTGTTTTATCATCATGATTCTTTATAAGTCAACATGACTATACCACTGTATGGTGGGAGCATTGGAATTGAATTCTCAGTTACCCTCTGTGATCTGGGTTATTTTCATACTATGTACTTTTAGAATACTCAGAAGCATGAAAACAATGAGGACATGTGTTTGTGCAACATTATTTGGATTTGATCCCAAGGTTTTGGGCTTCTATGTGTAATCTGTAGTTCTAACATTCCCGTCCTACCAGGCCAATAAATGAAGGACAGGGTCAAATCCAGATTTTCCATGGAATTAAGCTCATTAGGAATGTGGTATTTTAGATCATTCAGTCAAGGAAAAGGTCATGACAGAATTTAGGCAGTGGAGTTGTTCATACATGCAAGGAAGATCTAAGTGCCATTAGCTCAAGTGAAAAACAAAGGAAACAGTTTAACTTTTTTTTTTTCTTTTTCAGTCGAACATATCTTCAGTCAGAGGAGATTGTTGCCGAGTTGGTTTATAGTTTTTTGATTCCAGAGGTGCAAAAAGAGTTTGTCAAAGAAAAAGGTAAACTGATACAAATGCTTCACTTTAGGATTTTTTAAAATGATGTAAATTATTTTCAAAATCCTAGAGATTTAGAACTTAACAGAGATGCAGGGAAATTCTGAAGATGCACTGTTTTCTTGTTTCAGAACTCGATAAATTATTTTCCTGTTGTCTGACTGTAGAGTTTAGTCACTTGTCGTAGAGACGGGATGCAGTTCTAACAAGCTTGACAGAGTATCAAGACCCAGCTTTCTTTAAAAGGAGGTTCCTAGTTCCAAGAATTCTATGGCTCAAACTGTGACGGCCTTTTGTAGTAGGGAAATATAAACTATGGGTATTAAAAACTGKGGGTGCCCAAAAGGTCTGTATCTATTCTGCTACTCTGCTTGAGTCACAGATACTATATTTCCTCTGGACCTGTACCTAAGTATAAAGGTCCCCAATTTATCATATTCAAAAGTGGCATATTTTGGGGCTGGGGTTGTGGCTCTGTGGTAGAGTGCTTGCCTMGCATGTGTGAGGCACTGGGTTTGATTCTCAGCACCACATAAAAATAAATAAATAAAATAAAGGTACTGTGTCCAACTACAGCTAAAAAAAGAAAAAAAAGAAAAAGATTCTTCCAGAACTATGAGACTATTGGTGAGATGCCTGATCCTAGAGGGAGGGCTGCAATCAGGACAAGACCAATATTCAGGTGAAATAGCAATGCAGAAGCTTTTGGGATTATGTAGGGAACTTCTGGACAGATTTAAAGCAGAAAACTGCAATATTTGATTGCTTAATCAATGATAGAGAAAATGGTAGAGGTCTAACACATCAGGACAAAGAGTCACCATATTTTCATTCTTACAAGGTTGTTGTGTAATTTTAAAAGCAGTCCTTTCTAGTGATAAGCACTCAGTGTTTCCAGTGTGGCTTTATTACTAGCAGCACTGCAACCAGTATATGTTATATGTTTCCTGGCCATGCTTCTGAGAGTCAATTCCTAGTGGTACAACTACTGGGAAATAGGGTATGTACATTTTACCTTTTGATAGATTCTACATACTGTCCCACAAAAGGAGTGTTCTAATTTCTACTCCCAGCAACAGTTATGATAGCGCCATATCTATCTTCATAGTGTATGAAGTTTAATTTTCAGACCAAGTAATGTGTTTTTCTGTATCATCTTACATTCATTATAAAAGGGACCTTATGTTTTCTAGATCCTTAAGAAAATATATAACTCCTTTCTACTTCACCCAGGTCCAAAGTGAGATCAGCCTGCTTCAGAGCCATTCTACTTGGAGGAATTCAAGGACACAGGGAAATAGTGGGTTTAATATTTACTAGTTTGAGATCCCCTCCTACACCTCCTCCTAGGGATGAGGGAAAGATCTGGAGGAGGAACTTGAATGGAGGAAATCCTGTGGGCAAGTTGCCCAAGTCCTTAGTCTCTTCCCTTTATGTTTATGTCAAATTGAAAAAAAGCCATATGGATAGTGAGTGTACACTAGGAACCTGTTTCTTCTTTCAAATAAGAGAGTATATATGCTCCTTACCAAATATGTTATTTATTATGTATACTCTTTACCAAAAGTCAAGGTGCTATTATATAAAGGCCATGTTGAGATATTTCACTTTTTAAAAAGCTGATAAAATTAGAAAGACCTTAAAGAGATATGTATATAGATGTAAAATAACAGTAACTGTGACATTTTAAATGCATGCTAAGTTGCAAAAAGCAGTGCATTAAGCATTTGAAAATGTACATTATCTCAATTTCTTGCAACAGCTATGAAGGTATTCTGATTTTTCATGTGTTTGGAAACACATGACTTGCAGAGTTGAATCATGGTCTGTATGGCTCCAAAGAACCCACTTCTTTGGCCATACTACTGTGAATTRTAGTAAAAGTGCTGAATGAATTATCCTGTATAAAGTAGCTGATACCTAAATAGCAAAAAATCCACAGTACTTCTTAYTGTCCTGTGCTAGCAGTATGACTTTGGATAAGTAACTAATCTGTCTGTGTCTATGTTTCTTCTGAAAAATGAGGATATTGATAATATTCTGTTTTATGGTTGTGGGAGAATTAAATGACTACTCATATGTCAATTGCTTAAAATAGTGCCTAGCAAAAAGTAAGGAAAAAGGCTAACTGCTAACATCATTGTCATTAACATCAACACCTCTGACTTTTCCAAAGGCCTAGGTGCTTAGCATTATCTATACTAAGCCCTGATTACAAATATTCTTAGAATTTGAAGCTGGGACCACCTTCTATAGTCATGAGCCCAGATATTTATCATTAATAAGCAAAACTCCACATAGGAATTAAGGTTCAAAGAGAAGTGTGAGACAAGAGTCTCATTAAGACTGATAAATCACTTATAAGGTTTGAAGAAAAGAAAATGTAATTCAAATGAAGTGCTTCAATGTTTTTTGTGGGAAATGACAAAAAAGGTCTTACCTAATCAGAACAGACTTCCTGGGGGAGCTGGAACTTGAGCTGGGTTTTGCAGAACGTTAGGGTTTGGAGTGCAGTCTTTCCAAGTGAGAAAAGCTATGGAGGTGTGACATGGAGGCAAGTCTGCAGGGGAGGAAATGACAACTGAATTGAAGAATGTGAATAGAGGGAACAGCAACAAATAAGGGATGGGTTTGCTTTACCTTTTACTTAGGAAGATGTTCTTCTAAAACCAGAGAGCAGAGTGTTGTTAGTAAGCCCAATCAGCCCTAAGTCAGAAAATATGTGATTCACAAAATGATCATTTTTGTTACTACTCTCTTGAAAACATTTGGGAATGGTTTCATTCAGACTTTCAGAGAAAAAATTCTTCTGTCCCTTTTGCACAGTGAGGAATGCACAGCGAAAACATATTCTTGCAGCCCATCAGATCATCCATCAACACACAGAAGCCATGGTCCAGCGGAAATTTGTTGAGCGACCAAAAGATGAGGTCTCAAATGCTGACAAGTYACCTGAGGAGGGAACACAAAATAAGAACAGCAGCTAAGGTGAGTTTGAGTTTTCCATTTAGCAGAAGCAGAGGAGGAGCATCATTCAGCATTGTGTTGTGCTCTAACAAGCACAGTGTGAATAGATTGTCCATTGTTTAAGAAAATAAAGAGCTTCCRTTTAAATTGGCACATTTCATCTAGGTCATGGTACCTACTGGCTAAAATGATTACTGTTGTTATGACAGAATTTGTACTCTTGCAATCTAAAAAACAAGTCTTTAAATTCTTTTGTGGGTTCTTTTAACATGTAACTATATTTTATCACAAATAAAGTTACAGAACATGTAAGGGTTTTTTTTTAAAGCTTCTTCTGATAGAGAGGGGTGTGCTGTGCCCTAATGCACCATGCTAACTGTAAGTACAGCACAAGGCATGGAGCCTGCCCAGTTCAGCCACTTGCAGTGTCTGCCAGGGGTTGGAATGAGTCTCAATTAAACATTCATACTCCCAAGACTAACTCAGGCCTCATTCGGTTGAGTCTACACAGCAGAATATAAGAAAGGAAACAGCTTCCAGCAGGGCCACATCAGACACTTCTCCTCCTGTAGCTCCCGCCATACCCACACACCTCTGTTTTATTTATATTTTATTAACATACCTATTTTATTTAGTCCCCAGGTTACGAGCTCAGGTACAAGAAAAAAGAGATTCAGGTTGTGGGGACAGGAACTGCCTTAGCTTATAAGCTTCATGAGGGTGAGGGTGGTCGAGGGGCAGACTCAAAAGTCAATTGAAGAACAAAAAGAGTCAAKTGATATTTTCAAGTGAATGTCCATTAAAATAGAAGGATATTTGGAATAAGTCTGAGTGTGTGCTTATTTACATGGTTACTAAATAAAATATAACAAGTACACAGGCACATCTCTGTTTTTGTCATGGAGGCTCCATGTTCAAGGTAATTGCTTTGTTCATCTTGACTACCTAAAAATTTTTTCTTTGTTTTGAATATTTGTAAGGTTTTTAAAAGTTAGTGCCAGTAAACTAATTGAAGCTATTCTTCTCTATTGTGACACATTTAAATTACTGAGTGTAGTACTGCTGCTGCTTGTTTTTCTTAGTTTAAAATGTATGACTTGGTGTTTTAAAGGTTATTTGTGGAGAAACTAAAACAGTTGCACAACTGATTGAAATAAAACACTTGGAATAAATTTAGTAGGGGGATCAGAAAGTACAAAAGATTAACATTTTTTTTCCTAACTTTTAACAATTGATATGCCCTGCTTTAGTCTCTAAGAATTCTCATTACATACTATGTCCAGATTATAAGATACTTATTTTTAAAATGAAATCTATATATTGACCTTCTTGTCAATTATCTTATTGTACAACCAAAATTAGAGTTCTTTGGTTTGAAAACAACACATAGTGACCCTCCAGATAACTTTTAAGAACTTATTTAGCTTTGTGGGTGGTATTTTCATGCAAATAAGTAAGGGGGRGATTTATATTTTGTAGAAGTTTGGGGTCCTATTTTAATGCTCTTTGTATTGCAGTATGTATATAGTGTGTTAAGTTCTTTAAGAATCTCTCCTTAAATTTTGAGGTTAATACTTTTGTGCAACTGTGTTTTTTAATAAAGCCATGATAGTGTTAAAAACAAACAAAAAAGAGTCAAGTGAAAGTAAGTCCCATTCAAAAGGAATTATGGAAGGAAGATTGAGATAAAGGAAGAGATCTGAGAGAAAACAGATTCATGATTTTAAATGTCAATCTATGGTTGAAAACTACAGCATATAAGCTTTCGTCTTCAATTAATAATGAAATGATATCTGAAATCAGTGAAGATCTAAAGCATGTATTGAGGTATAATATCATCTATTATCTATTATCTCCTAAATATAAATTCAATGGCCAAAGCATTTTGCCAACCTTATTATTGTTAAAAAAAAAAGTAAGACAGAGGGTTGGGAATAATTTTTTGGACATGAAAGTTTAATATTAGCCATTTAAACAGCTTGAATTGAATAGATATGCATTTACTTCTGATTTTGATACCTACTCTGTGACATCCTATGGTGACCTGTGATGTCAAGTCAGAGGAGTGAAACAAAATCATCTTCTATCTACTTATTTAAAGTAAAATACATTTCATTTAAGCCTGTATAAAGCATATATGATAGTCATAAAAGCTAGTTGTAGCCCAGCACATGGCTCAGGAGGCTGAAACAGGAAGATCGCAAGTTCAAAGCCAGCCTCACCAATGGTGAGGTGCTAAGCAACCCAGGGAGACCCTGCCTCTAAATAAAATACAAAAAACAGGGCTGGGGATGTGGCTCAGTGGTCAAGTGCCCCTGAGTTCGATCTTTGGTACCAAAAAAAAAAAAAAGCTAGTTGTAAAAATATCTAGTTGATACTCTAATGACAAACACTCAGCAAAGATGGTCAACCAATAAATTAAATGTTGGATATGAAGCTTAACTGTCTCCAAATTATATATTTCTCCCTTTTCTTACAGGGAGGAAAGAAGGGAAGTTTTGAGATTATTTTATAATATATACAGGGAAAAGAGAAGTAGGCATGAATCACTGATTGAAAGCATATACAGAAAATAGGAGGAACTTCCGAGGGCCTAAACATGGATGCGTGAGGCATTCCTGATCCTGGGGCCTAAACATGGATGCCTGAGGGACTTCTGGATCCCAGAGCCTAAACATGGATGCCTGAGGAACTTTCAAACCTGGGGGCTTAAACATGGATGTGCACCCAAGGAACTTCCGGATCCAAGAGCCTAAACATGGATGAGCACCTGAGGAACTTCCGGATGGGGGGGGGGCGGAATAAACATGGACGCCTGAAGCACTTCCAGATCCAGGGTCTTAAATATGGATGTGCACCTGAGAATTTCCGGATGCTACGGCCTAAACATGGACGCCTGAGGCACTTCCGGATCTGAGGGCCCAAAGATGGACATGTACCTGAGGAACTTCCGGATCCGGGGGCCTAAACATGGACACCTGAGGAACTTCCGAATCCTAGAGTCTCAACATGGACGTGCACCAAAGGAACTTCCAGATCCTAGAGCCTAAACATGGACGTGAAACTGAGGAACTTCTGGATCAGTGGGCCTAAATATGGATGCCTGAGGAACTTCYGGATCCTTGTGCACCTGAGGCACTTCCGGATGCTAAGGCCTAAACATGACGTGCACCTGAGGAACTTCCAGATGCTGTGGCCTAAACATGGATGTGGGCCCGAGGAACTTCTGGGTCTGGGGGCCTAAATATGGACGTGCACCTGAGGAACTTCCAGATCCTGGGGCCTAAACATGGATGCCTGAGGAACTTCCGGATCCGAGGGCCTAAACATGGACGTGTCCCTGGAACTTCTGGGTCCTTGTGCCTATAAAGGGCAGGCGTGACTCTCAGAAGGGATGTGGCCCATGAAGGGGAGCTGAGTATGGGGCCTGTTGGGAGGCAGACTGAGCTGTCGCACCCTAAACTTGAATGTGACGGTGGCCTCACTTCCCGGCCTTCCTCCCTTTCTAGGCAGTGCCGAGGAGGATGTGAGACCAGGCGCAGGGGCCAGGCCCTGAGGAGGGACATTGTCTTTCTCCTCGCTTAGCCAGGCACCCACCMGGCCTGGCTGGAGACGGGAACATCTTGTGACACTGGCTGCCTCCTGCATCCCTRCCCCAGGACCTCAGAGACCACAGGCGGGGACAGTTGTTGATTCTCCTCTGGCCTCTGACTCTCAGTCCCGGGGTCTGCCCAGGAAGTGCTCTGTCTCCCAGAGGGTCAGGGGGTCCCTGTGACCTGCTGCTCCTTACCCACCGTCATCCTGGGCGAGAACAGGTCAGGACACCAGACACTACTGAGAGTGACATCTCCTAGATGGGTGGCTGGGGACTTTGCCTCTGTCCCCAGGCCTCGGACACCGAATGATCCCCCCCAGAGACAGAAAATAACCCCACACTGCCCAAGACTTATTTTTAAGCTTTGGATTCTGAAATTTTCCTGCTGCCACCTTCTTTGTGAAGCCAGTTTTTCAGCAGAGACAATATTCTAGGGAGAAAAAAGCAAAACAAAACATGGAGTCAATCAAACCAAGCTGACATATCTGGTCCTCCAAGAGAAATCTGGATTGGAAGGAGAACAGCCATTCTCAACTGGCAAAATAATGAAGTTCCCTTGTCCTTATTTTGTGTAAGCAAAATAAATAATCTGATGTTAATCATAAAATTATTTCTGATGAGTGCTTGGCTCATAAAACTGATTCTGTTTTATGGAATGAAGTGTTACCTGATTTTAAAATTTAAAATGAAGCCAATTAGAATTGTTAAATTACACTGTCATAATTCTGTTCTTTGATAGCAGAAATAAATAAACCTTTTTTAAAAAGCATATACAGAAAATATAACACATATTATATATATTTTAAGCGACCTTGAAGGCAATGGAAAGYTAATAAAGTAGTGAAGAACTTGTGGGTCAAAATCTAGGAGAGGACAGAAATTCAGAGTATTGGGTCTGGTATTTGGACCTAGTTTTTTTCCTGGGTAAGTTCTAGAAAATGTGGCTGAGAGACTGAGCACTGCTTTTAAAAGCTTTACAAACTACTGGGAGAAAAACTAGAGTGAAGGGCTGGGGCTGGGGCTCAGTGGTAGCACACTTGCCTGGCATGTGTGAGGCACTGGGTTCAATTCTCAGTACCGCATATAAATAAATTTAAAATAAAACAAAAAACAAAGGTCTATCAACAAATTTTTAAAAAATATTAAAAAAAAGAAAAAACTAGAGTGAAGGTTGAGACCTGATAAACCCACTCCATCTGGGTTGGGTCTCTAAAAGTCCATGCCCTAGTAGTAAGGATGTAGGGAAGCAAGCTTTCCCTGCATGCTCTACAACTTAGCTTCTTTTGTAGATAGACACAATAACTTTATTTTATTTATTTTTTAATGTGATGCTCAGGATCAAACCCAGTGCCCACATGTGCTAGACATGCATTCTATCACTGAGCCACACCCCAGCCCAACAACTTAGCTTCTAATCATCCAATGA